GAAGCATATTTACGTCTGGACAACGAGTTGCGTTGGAGAGGCCGGAAATAGTGGCGATTTCAGGACCGCAAGAATGGACCGTCATTGGAATGATTCTTTTTTAAACCGTGCACTGTTTTCGGCCAGAATTTAAATGTTACTACAAAATATTTTGTAGTTACGTTTCCACCAAGAATGAATGCCATCAGGGCTAAATTTTTAATACTATTGCATTTTGTCAAGAAGCATATAGTGCTGTTATGTTGCAGTTTTAGCGCGTTTGTTACAAAATATGAAGCGAATAAGCGTCAGTGTAATTCATCAACAGTGCCAGAAGTTAACTTGAGGGAAAGCTGTGCTAATTGCTCTTGTCCATCCACTAAAATTTATTAAATATTTTGCTTTGTGTATTCCAAAAGGAGAGGGAACTATTTCATTTGTGCCTTCATGTCAGAATTGAAGGTGGATCATTAAATTTTCAACGCAGTTTACAAACAAGCATTTGGTCTTTCTCGTTTATAAGCAGTGGCTAAGAAAAGGTGGATCAATCCTGAAGTTCAGTCATCGTACCTCAACTTGGCAGCAAGATCCCCCAAGGACAGAGGATATATTGTATACATGTCCTGTAAATCAAAACAAACAAGCATTTGGTCTTTCTCGTATATGTATAAGCAGTGGCTAAGAAAAGGTTGATCAATCCTGAAGTTCAGTCATCATACCTCAACTTGGCAGCAAGATCCCCCAAGGACAGAGGATATATTGTAAACCTGTCCTGTTAATCAAAACATTTTTGTGCCTTCAAAGGCTTAAGTTATCTGTGGTGTGTTCGGAGTTAGGCTATATGGCCGTTTTTGTTGTATGTTTATGTGGAGATTGAATATAACTGTGACCCTGTGCTTGTTTGTATACTTACGGTCAAACAGGGAACAGCACATTCACATAACATACTCACCTAGCACCTAACTCATAGCTGTACCCTGCAGGATCTGTACTTGTTCATGTCTCGAGCATTAATAAAGCACTTAAGTAGCTTAGTAATCATTTCCCACATTTTCTGAGCATCTAACATGACATACAGCAGTGCAGAGTAGCTTCAGAGAAGAAACACTTAAAATGCACAGACTCACACCAGCCACCCAATGAGCCAGTTCCTCTGTCCTCATTCTGTTTCCCTGGACACAGCTTGGCAATGTGAGCTAACTTTTGGCAAGTTGAAGGTTAGCAGGTAAGATTGAGTTAGGGTGAGTACCTACCTATAACTGGGTGCTACTGCCATGCAGGTTTAACTCACCTGTTGGTGAGTACATCTTGGTGAGTAGAGTTCCTTGGTGGAAGATTACCCTCAGGTCTTGGGTAGGCTGCAAATATGTGTGATGATTGAGGTTAGGTCAGCTGTCACTTGTCAGGTTAGTCAGGTTCGGGTATGCTCATTGCTCAGGTCACATTTTTCTGGACATTTGGCAAATTAAAAAACTAGCAATCTGATCTAAGCTAACCCAACTAAACATACATAACTACTGACTATAGGAAAGGAACTGAGCACCTACCTACTTGTGCCTACATCTCATACCATGTCAAAGTAGAGTTCCTTGGTGGAAGATTACCCTCAGTACTTTTTATCCCAGCCCTGTGAAGAAAACTAATACTTCTAAGCTCGGAGTCACTGCTGGCCATCCACAGGAAGAAACACTGAGACTGAGAGCTTTGCCATTGTATATTGGACCAATAATGGCTATCACGAATGACTATGAACACATAATATGATCACATCGCTGCATGGATTGTCACATTGACAATTTTACTACAATCCTTTTTTCAAGAAATACAGTGATGATGATTAACATCAAAATCAACATAAAGTGGATTTAGTGATCCAAGCTTTCTCCTCCAGTAGCAATGGAATGATCACATGTTTCATTTGCCAGACACTGAGTACCTGATGCACATTACAATCTGCATAGCATCTAAGCATAGTAAAACTGCCCAAGTCCATTCATTCTAGATTTTAACTTGATAGTTAGCACTAATTTATCTTGCTGTTGTAAGTTATTATTCAATATTCATACCAATACATCAATATGCGCTCATCAGTCAACATTTTCTGGCATGATCCTGCTCAGTGTGCTCTTCAGTATGGCTCCAAGGTCTGCAATATTATAGCTTGTTTTTGGACAATAAGCTCTTTTAATTTTACCTTTTCTTGCTGATATATGAGCCCGATCAACTTGCGTTTATCAACCAAAATTTCATAACTTGTTCAACTTGATATTGATATTGCTCAGTAGTCAGGACCTCTGTCAGCCTCCTGGATACTTCAGATTGTTTTCAATCAACATGCTTCTTAATTATGATATAAGTCAATCTTAAGGGATTCAAAACATCCAACAAAACTTTTTATGTGGGCGAGGATGGATGACATGATTATTATTAATATAACGAGGCTTGAAATGATCTCACGCATGTCAAAGTGTTTTTATTTTAGGCAAAATAAATATCTAAAACAGTAAAACAAGCTTTCGGCATTACGCCATCATCAAGTTTGAATAAATTAACATGTTTTTGATTTTCAAAAGCTAGAGCACAATCATATTGTTCCAGGCATCCTCATAGCAGCTCACTTTTTTAAACGTATTGCAATACGTTGCAAATAGTGTGGTACATTGCACATGGCAAGTAAATAATGTAGAACAATGTATCATTACGTACGCTACAACATGAACTGAAACAGTACTGATGAAAACAACATGAACTGAAATGAAACAGTAAAACAAGCCGAAAGCTTGTTTTACTGTTTTAGATATTTATTTTGCCTAAAATAAAAACACTTTGACATGCGTGAGATCATTTCAAGCCTCGTTATCCAACAAAACGACGTACAAGAGCAAGAAAACCACCAGATAAACTAAAAAATGGCCTTGGAACAGAGCCAAGTGGTGCTCCATTTGTTTGTTTACAATGATTGTAGTGCTGATGTATTTTTAGGACTCTGAACGTCGGCTTATAAAAAAATGAAACGTTTTTACAAAAGTTGTAAGGCAAGTAATATTTATCTGAAAGAACTAAATATTCAAAAGCCAAACACTATGAAATACATGAATCGGTACGAAAAAGTAACCAAAAAATCCAGCCTAATCACCGGCTCCTAAAACTGCAACACAATCAGCACTTTTCCCCGCAACTCGTTGTCCAGACGTAAATATGCCTATAAGAAACAGGTAGGTCCGATGTTTTGAGTAAAGCCCACGTAAAGCCCTGGTGACGTCACTGACATTTCTTATATGGAGAATTTCGCCCATAAGAATAATATTTTACATACGAAAATTTGTATTTCATTCGGAAAAAATACATTCTATCAATTTCATCATGAAACTTATATAATTTAATTAAAAAACTTGAAATCCTTTGAGTGCTTGTCCCAACCCCTGCTATACCTTTGGTCACGTGACTTCCATGAAAAACTTTGCGTTTTGCAATGTTATGACTTAAACAGAAGCAATAAATGTTACAAGCGTATTATTTATGATGTTTTAGGCAGCAATCGTGTAATAACATCCTTAAATTATATACATTTTGCTTAAAAGAGGTCACGTGATGTTACCAGATTGTGCTCGGACAGCATCTTCTTGAACTTCGATTTTGAGTACTTTTTACCTTCATTGAGTCCTAATAACGGACGTTTTTAGTTATAAAATGAAGCAATGAATCTATTGAGGGCAAAATTTAATCATTTTTGCACTTTCAAGCCGGGCTATCCTGGCATGAACTTCGGCCGGTTTGTGTGTGAGGCCTATGGTGAAGGGAAAACTTCACGCCCGGCTGACGTCACAGACCTCGGCTACCAAATCGTGTCCGGTGGGGGTCGCATATACCACCGCGTGCTACCAAACGTTTTAGTAAAAGATTTAAAAATCGTTAGATCTCCGCTGACGTCACAAATTCTAAGGGGGCATACCAATGCACTAGCCCCTTAGAATCCGAAAACTGCAAGTTTGAAATTCCATATCTCCGAATTAAAGCATTTGTCGATGTTGTGAGTGCCCAAACCGGTATTTGCAGGCCATGGCCACCAATTTGGCTATCTCAACTCAAAACTAATGTTAAGGTGGGAGTGTCCCTTTAAGAGATAGGGACCACGCTGGTCCCACCCTGCAAGTAAAGGGAAGAAATTTCTTGAACACCATAAAGCTGCGGGGGTTGCGACCAGGATAAATGGTGGTTTCTGAGCCTGGCCGCAAACTTGGCTATCTCAACTCAAAACTAATGTTAAGGTGGGAGGGTCCCTTTAAACCGAAAATAACCCACACCGTCCACCAACCTCCTCAACCACGAGCCAAAATTGAAATGACCTTGACCTTGCGTTGACCATAAGCTTTTATTATCGGGTGTTTTGTTTGTGAGGGTCAACCGCAAGCAGCTACAAAAAATCAAACAATAGTTTAAAAAAAAAATTCTTAAATGTCTCAAGTCGGACTTAGTATTAAAGATGTGTGTAATTTTAATGATGAAGTCAGAAATTTTTGAGTAAACCATGGAAAAATTTGGAAGTTCAAGCTGTTTATCCTTCCATAAGCAGGACTTGCGTTCAAGCAATGAACACACCTGCTCACTTACCCATGTTTGCTGTTTGCGGTACTTTATTTTATCAAAGTTAGCTGCTTTTGTTTGTCCCTTATTAGAAATATCTAATGCAATCAATAAATTAAATCACGTTTAATGAGTATTCGCTTATTTTTTCATCCATTTATGCTTATGAAGATAGAATGCAAGCGAAAAAGCGCTTGCCAGCGATTTAGGCAAATTGTCTTTCAACTTCCTTCGCACCGAGCATCTTGAATGATATCATAACTTCAAAAGACAGAAGAATCATCCGTTGGCATCATTGAATGTACTTTTTGACGGAAAGATTGGGTCGATACGGTTGGTACTGAAATTACGAAATAAATGTAAAAGTTAACTTTTGCAGAACTACTTTTTGCAGTATTTTAATCGCTTCAAGCTTTCACTCATTTGTTGACGTCATAAATGATGCGCATGCGCAGTGTGCTCACTGATTTTCTGTTGAGTTGAGGCGCTCGCCATTTTTATCAATTAAATTTATTTAATCGGTGCAAGGTTCTTTACAATCATCCATATTTTTGGACTGTTATGGTAAGAATGTTTTCATGCGACATTTTCTATACCACTTATTGTTCGTCTTTGGATACGCCCATTTTACGGTCACTGCGGCGAATGATGCGCGGAACGTATAAGCGAAGCTGATGAATTACCTTCAAAGAATATTGATGCGTCCTCCTAATCCGGTAGCACTGTTATAAGCTAAATATTCTAGAAATTTTCATCTTTTCTAGATTCTTCAATTTGTGTCCCTTTGTAAGTTAAAACAGGCTTCCTGTATCTTGTAGTCCCATCACAACTTTTCGGCAACTTTTACTAATAAAATATTTGCGTAGTTTGATGCAATCATGTATGTTTGTGGTTGAAAAATGGAGGAATATTTGGCTCAAATATGAAAAGCAACACTTATAAAGTGAGTGCAATCTCAGTAATGTGCATGCGTGCAACAGTGTCAAATTGCCAGTTTCTTTTTTTTTTGTAAAAAGTTTAAAGTATAATACAATACAGCACACTTATAAGCCTGTTTCAGGAGCATTTGTACAAAATATCCAGACAGGCTGCTCCTGTCTTTTTTTAATGTTCAAAACATGCTCCAAAGCATATTTTGATGCTCCAAGAACATGCTCCAAATATAAGTCCTTGGAAAAGATGGTAAATGTCAAGATAAAGTCCTAAGAGGATTTCAATGATAATTTTTTCATATTCTTACAACATTTGACACCCTGAATCCAAATTGATGCTTACATGTCTCACAAATAACAAAAACATCATCCAACCTGTCTTAACCTTACCTACTTACCTACAACCCACAAACCTAACCTACAACCTGACAACCTACAAGCTGCAAACCTACCAACCTACAACCTAAAACCTACAAACCTACAACCTAACCTAACATACAACCTAAAATTTCTGCTGTTGCATATTTGTATCAACAGCACTACAGTTGTATCATATCTTGACAAATATTGAAATGACTGCCTACCTTTTAATGACCAATATTTCAGTTTTCAAGATAATGTGGAAGTTATAAGTTGAAAGGTAGAACATTGATCTGCTAGAGGCAATCAGATCAAACCATTATATCTTTCTTAAACCTGTGAAATCCAGTAAAAGCAGGGCTGATGAAGGATATCTTTTCCATGTTGTAGACATATGAATAGAATGCAATTATTTATTGTTTCTATTGATGTCTTCAATACAGCTCTGGCTAACATTTTAGACATTCTCAATTATAAAAAGGGAGAGCATAATACAAACTTGCTAAGCTTTATACAAGTAGGCATCATATACAAATTGTGCAAAAACTCTCCTTGTCTGCATTTTTAAGTTTACATGCTAGCATGCATCTAATACATAAACAATATTTGGTGTGAAATAATATTTGCAATATTATTTTCATAAATTAAGAGATGAGATGAATAAAATGAATATAGATATATGCTGGAGCCTTAAAGGAAATAGTTCACTTTTAACATGGGGTTTTGAGCTGGAATAGCAGTTTCGTAGCTTGAGCTGAGACTAGCACAAATCAGGAGCTTTTACGGCTCAACGATCACCCTAGACGAAGATATTCCATTTCTCGTTCCGAAAAGAGTGCCTTGTAGAGGAATGCGTGCCTTGCACAGGAATGCAGCCACGTCATCGTCAGCCAATCAGCGTGCTGCTTACAGCCAATGCAGTATGCGTAGGTTTGAGCTACGCAATATGATTGGTCAATACGTAATAAGCTTCCGCGTCAAACATTATTTTACATAGAATATAGTTCGTCCTATATTAAAATATAGAAAATAATTGTTTTTACAAAAAGGTTTTATTTTATTTCATGATTATTTTGAGCATAAAAAATAATAAATCAATAGCAAAATACTGATTTCAGGAAAGTGGACTGTTTCCTTTAAATTTCCAGGCTTTCCTTGTTAGTGTGAGCTGTAATTATGTAGTGAATGAAGTGGTAATAAAAATGGTCTTCTGTTCTAATGCCTTTTGGAACATATGTGTGTTCACTGTTTAGGGACTAGGAAACACCATATTTGCAAACAGTTTCTTTATGAGCTTACATTTTAAGGAAATGAGTTAGGACAACATTTGTGCAGTGTCCTGAAATTGATTTTTCGGAGAGTGTGATTGAAGCCGCAAGGACGTCAGTATTTCATAAGGACGTCGATATCGGTGCGGAGCCTCAGCCACTGAAGATCCCTTAAATCTCTTAAAATTAGCGATTTTCACTAGCAATTTTGACTAATAGCACCTCAAGGCATCTCAAAGGATCATATATAACTAGACACAAAGTAATGCCAGTTTACCCCTAGTACAATACAAATTTCAATCATTCATCACAAACACCAAAACAACACTTTGAAGATGTTTAGTTCTTGTCCATGATCGTACACAACAGTCAGTGACAAATATGCTTCAACGAAATCAGCCCAAGAGCCAGCGGCTATCACTAAATATTGACGTCATAAGAGGGATATTATATCGAGCAAGAGGAGTGACGTAAAAAACAGACGTCCAAACAAAGAGATGGAAAACAGTTAGGAAAATTAATTTCCATAGCTTCCTGTTATGAAATTCAATGAAGAAAACTCCAAGGTAGACGCTGAATTTTTCTTGGCTGGAAAAAATGTGAAATCATCGTGCACTTTTCAGTTTTGTACCGACGTCGATTTAATGGGAATGACAAGGTCAATCGACGTCCCCAACATTGCGTTATTTTTAAGCCAAAGACGACATACTTTAATTAAAACTGTTGAAATTCGGTAACTTTATCTTAATTCAAATAAATAAACACAAACTTTTTTTCCAACCACTATCAACATATGCAAAATTAACTGCTTTTGAAGGGTAGGTTCAAGGGGCAGCGCTACCCCGTTACTGTGACCTTCTGAGGGGAAAAATAATTAAATATGTTACAGTGATTTGATACAAAAGGTATGTTGTGTGCTTAGAGATAAATGTCGAAGTAATATATTCGCATGACTAATTTTTATCTATACACCGCACAGTTACTAAAACTGAAAAGTGGAAAACGACGTCCTCAGATCCCTCTATTCCGACGTCTTTTCTCCTTCATATGGCAGCTATTACCTTCACGATAAAGGAAAAAACCTATCCATATCTGACGCACAGAAAACGAAAATAAAACCGCGTTGTTTACTGTTGCGGCAGTTCGCCAGCGGTGTTGGAAAGGGGAGTTGAGTATAAGAGTGGGTTTGTGAGACCTTGGGATATATTTATTGTCATTTTGCACAGCCGTGTTTTTAGGCCACAGAGGTGATATTTCTTTTTGTTAGTTTGCTTTTGGTGTTCGATATACCTGTCTACTTTTATCTGTCAGGGACGTCGTTTGGCTTTCCGGGACGTCACAAAGAGAATCTGTTCGGGTGTGGGTTTCCACCCAAATTGACGAAAATCAGGACACTGCATTTGTGACCTGTATAAGTTTGTGATGCACTGATATCATTTTCTTACAAGGCAAATCAATTTATTTGACTATATTTGATTTATATGTCAGACATGCCACTTGCTGTTTTGGTGCCTATCACACACTTGCCACTTTTCCACATTTAATTGCTAGATGAAAATAGGTGAAAAGGTTAAATTTTGTTACATTTTAAGAATGTTTGCAGAGATCTATGTTAATGTGGATATATACTGTTATCAAAATAAAAGTCATCATTTACTGAAATTACATCTTATTTCAGGTTTGATGGGCATCTGTGCTGGCTTCTTCCTACACTACACACTGTTGCTGGGCGCTGCTCCATCTGCACTGTTCAAAGTGGTGTGCCTGATCTCTGCGTACTGGCAGTAGCCAGCCACGGCCGCAGTGCTGTGTGTGACGGGACCGGTGTGTGGTGGCGGTGTGGACGGTGTTAGCCGCCGGTGCAGTGCAGTGGCCAGGTGACGGCTCGCGGCGCCCACCTGTGCCCGGCGGCCGGCGCCGCGGGTGATGAGCAGCCGTGTGGCCGGCGGCGGCTGGGCTCCCAGGCCTCCCCCGGCGGCGGCCGCCGCTGACGGCGCCATGTCGGTGAGCGCCAGCCTGCGCACGCCGCTGCAGACGGTGCCCGAGGCGCTCACCACCGACCATGTCTCCTCCAGCAAGGCCAACAAGGTGAGCAGTCGACGGCGCGCGCCCGTCTCCCCGTCAGGTGGACGCTGTGCCATCTAGTGCTCTTTTCGCGGAAACTGATGGGACGTAGGTCTATGTAGGGGGTGGGGGAGGGGGGTACACGATGAAGCTTGTTCCTGCTCTTGCAAAGCTAAAAATGAAAGAAGCCCATTCCTGAACCCTGCATCTGATTCCTGGTCAGCATCTCCATTGGCTCTAGGATCCAATTAGTTTTGAGGTGGACTGTAGAGACTCATGAAGTAGATTAAATCTCTGCCAATGGCCTTGCAGCGAGGAAACGTAGCATCCTGCATTAAGGGAGGTTTAGCAACACCAGTTTTATAGGGCCTGCTTCAGCATTTTATCATACTACTGCCATTGTCTTATTTTGAATCATTATCTCTTGTCATTTCTCCGAGACTGTGCATTTGTGAATTTGCACACCAGCAGCAGTCTAATCATTTGCATTTCATCAGAAATTCAGAAGCCAGGTTTTGTTGACCTTAGAAACCCCAACTTGGTCTCTTTCCTTCTTATCACTTACACACTCACTCACTCAATTATTTATCCATTCATTCACTCACTCACTCATTCACTCACTCACCTTCTTTTGCTCATTCATTCATCTCACACATTCGCTCATCTGCTCAATCCCTTAATCGCCCACGCTCATTCACTCACTCGTTCTCGCTCAGTGTTCTCACTCACTCACAGTGTTCACTCGCCCACTCTTCACTTGCTCATGCTCACAATCACAGTCACTCACCCGCACACTAACTCGCGCACTCATTCTTTCATTCAGTGTCCTGGTTTTCGTGAATTTGGGTGGAAAACCACATCCCAATGGATTCCCTTTGTGATGTCCTGGAAAGTCAAACGACGTTCCTGACAGATGAAATCCGCGCATTTACCCATTCACTTGTTCGCAAATTACCTAACTCACGCACGCAATATTCGTTCACTCATTACCTATATCATACAATCACTCTCCCATTTACTCACTCACCATCTCACTCGCTCACATTTCCTTCACTCATTCATTCATTCACTGAATCCCTCGCTCACTCCATCACTCACTCACTCACTCACGCACTCACTCACTCACTCACCCATCCACCGGCCGGCCGACCGACCGACCGACTGTTGCTAACCTTCGGTCACCCTTTCACGCTTGCTTACGCTACGCAACCTGCTGAGTGCTGGCAGCAGCCTTCGTAGTAAACGGTTGCCAGCTGAGCTCATTGACGACTTGGCAAGGGATGGTGCCAAAAGTGGGACAAAATAACTTGTCTCTGGGCTTCAACCACTGGTCTCGGTGGCTTTTGCAATGGATTGGGAGGTCAGCTTAACCACGTTGTAGTTGTGCAGTTTCTTACTCGCCCTGTGTTTGATGAGACGCCAGCAATAGCATGCCTTTGACATTATTTTCTGATCTAAGACATCAAATTATTTAATAACTGCTAGTTTCAATGCTTGAACGAGAAGCAACAGGTATGATTATGAACTTGATTATATTTTCCTGAAATATTAGTTATTTGACCATAAGTGACATTCTGGCGTAAACGTATCACACTTTCCTTGATCAGCTTCCTGTCCGGGCTCTCCGATTTTCAGTTGCTTCCTCCTAAAATCATTTGCTTTTTAGTGTCTTATGGACTGTGGAGTCAAACGTCAGTCCCTTCGTGGCTTTCCTTTCCTTTTGCCATGCAAGCCAATCTGTCCATGTGATAGGCCGGTGCCCCCCTCCCCCTCCCCGCAGTGCACCTTCATTTCAATAGAACGCGGATGCTCCTTTTTCCACCTTCATGGATATTCCGCACATTTTTATGACTGCCGTGGGGTCCTACCAAGAACTCGGTCATTCATATGCCTTTCATCGTTGTCTGTTTACCTGTGTGGCTAGTTTTATGTCTTGTGACACCCAACTACCGTTATCGTTTCCCTGTTGCCGGATCGTCCACAGCTGTGTGCCGGTCACACCATTGGTCGGTAATTGACGGCATTCCGTACACGTATCAGTGATCTGCGCCGCCCCAAATGGCTCCGCTGCCCGGCGGGCGGGCGGCGCTCGGGACGGGCGCGGCGCAGCGCCGGTGCTTGGTCAGGTGCTCGGCCGTCCGCGGCCGTGCCCTTGTTCGGATGTGACTCACTGGATGGCGGCCCGGCGGGCCATTTTCCTTGTTTACCTTGCTCGGTGCCGAAACGCCCTGCTTTGTACGGCGCTGATGGCTGCGAAGATGTCGGCTTATTACCGGCTGTAATCCGCTGTGATTTGTCATTCGTGACGTCGGCTCGGCGCGGAGGCGAGCGGTGCGCACGGACGGCCGCGTCGGCACCGGCGCCTATCGGGCCATCGTCCTTCCCGGCACGGTGCGTGTCGGCCGCGGGCGGGCGGCGCCGGCGCGTGTTTGCCGATGACGCGATGCCGGGCATGCCAGCGGCAGCCATCGGTCCGGCGCGGCGGCGGCGGTCCGCGGGACACGGACACCGGCTCAAGGGCAGACGCCGCAGCCGCCCGTCACTGCCGCCACCGGCAGGGATCGGCACCGCTGGCGGCGGCCGAAGCCGCAGTCGGGGGCACTGGCCGGCGCCGGCTTCCGTCAGTCCCGTGCGGCTTTACGTCTACACACCGGCTACCGAACAACACACCATGCTGGCTGGTCTCTCTCTCTCTCTCTCTCTCCCTCACTCCCCCTCTCTCTCTCTCTCTCTCTCTCTCTCTCTCTCTCTCTCTCTCTCTCTCTCTCTCTCTCTCTCTCTCTCTCTCTCTCTCCCTCACTCCCCCCTCTCTCTCTCTCTCTCTCTCCCTCCCTCTCCCTCCCTCCCTCCCTCCCTCCCTCCCTCCCTCCCCCTCTCTCTCTCTCTCTCTCTCTCTCTCGCTCTCTCCCTCTCCCTCTCCCTCTCCCTCTCCCTCTCCCTCTCCCTCTCCCTCTCCCTCTCCCTCTCCCTCTCCCTCTCCCTCTCCATCACCCTCTCTCTATCTCTCTCTCCCTCCATTCGCTCTCGCCTCCCACCCTCCGCGGGCGGCTTCCCTGCGCCGGGGGCGGGGCGGCCGACTCCCGCGGTCGTGTAGCCGCCCGGCGCCGCGGCGGCATCGATTGCAGGGCGGGGCGGTGGCGGCGCCGGTGCCGGTGCCACCATCGATTGGCTGGGTGGCGGCACGCACCGCGCCGCCGACCAGCTGACCGGACCGCTCGGAACGGAACCGGCAGCACGAAACGACACCGGAAATAGAACGGCAAACGACCGGAACCGGCACGAGCAGGACATGAAGGGTTGGGGAGTGGGGACAGCCATGTGCACACGCTGCATTGATAAGGGATAATTTAGCAAGGGACTGAGGGCTGATGAATGTTTTAGGTGACTCACTCGAATACTGCGGCTAGGAAATTGCTGGTCGACTAGGTAAGTCGCCGGTAACGAAAAATGAGATCACCGCTGTCCTAAACCGATGACGAGTGCCCGAGTTGTGGAGAGGCGATAACGGAACGGACATGCAGAGATAGGAGGAACCGCTCAGAATTCCATGTCACCCTTGCTATCTATGAGGCGGTTACGAGTGATATCGCTGCACAGTCTTGTAGTTGTACGAGATGTTTCAACGCCACAGAGCTGATGTTCATCAAACAAGTGCTGACCTCATCGTTGAAGGAGCGTTGAAATTGACGCAGTTCAACTCCTTTCTGTTTTAGAACGGCTGTTGTAGCAAATGCTGTTAAGGAGGTATTGCCGGCTTTGCATCAGTTCCCGTTTTCAACCAATCACCATTTCTTCCGCAGGAATCCTCGCGGAGTAGACCCGACTCTGAGCCCCACATCGGAAAGTACCAGCTCCTGAAGACCATCGGCAAGGGCAACTTTGCCAAGGTCAAGCTGGCCAAGCACCTGCCGACCGGCGAGGAGGTGAGTGTTGGACGGTGACGGCTTTGTGAGGGGACACGGGAGATGCAGAGGCTATCGGTCCGTGCGCCACGCGTGGGGCGCTTGTCGAACGTATTGGGTGTTTTATCCTGTGTTGTTAAAAGGCGAGGGTGTGAGAAAGGTACTGTTTGCAGGAAGTTAAAATTGGTGCTTTGCTTACAACGGTATGATTGTTCCTTCACGGCCACTGATTTGGTCTTCACTTATATGCTGCTAATGCTAAGATTAGCTTGCTTCGACATTGTTTGCGGTGTGATCCATGTTAATGGAATGTAAAGTGCCAATGGGCTGGCGTTCTTAGCCGGTGTAGTCCGCCGTGGTCGGTCGTATCAGATCTTCAATTCTCGGGTATGTGTGGCCAAACAGATGATGCTGGGAGTGTCGTGTTGAAAACCTCGAACAGTCGAACGGCAGACGGGCAAATCTACCAATGGGTTGGGTGAACCGTGCTGCGCTGATAGCCATCAGTGTTTAACCAGTTATGAGTGCACTACGCCGCGGATCTCGCTGTTTGCGCGCGCTGATTGTTATGTGTGCCTTGTGATTTCAGGTCGCTATCAAAATCATAGACAAAACGCAATTGAATCCGGGTAGTCTACAAAAGGTGAGCAATATTAGCTCTGGTAATCGTGAGTGTGATGCGATTTCTGATCCGAGATACTACTTCATTATATTTGTGTTGGTAAAACAATAGCATTACTGGTGATGTAGCGCATGGCGACCATCACCTGTTTCCTTTAAAGCTCCGAATCGACCGGCCTTCAGAGCAGCGCCAATGAAGTCAGGAATGTATGTCGACACTGGCCTGTGCGCCCGACTGGTGTCCATTGATTATTCATACGGGTTTGCGCGGCTCAGCGAGGGTGTTTGCGCTGCTCTCGCCGTCCTACATATTCACATTATTCAGTGCCTCTCACCTAATCCACGGCGCTAGATGGCGCCCCGCCCCGCAATATCGCGAGACCACGCTGGCTATCCCATAGGCCTACATTGTGGGGTACCGTAAACCGGGGTGAGTTGATATGGATTTTGAGGTTATTCTAGATTTCGTTAAAAGCCACATTCATTTACGGAATTCTTTTTGTGCCAGTTTCATGGCACATGCCTTGCGGAGGCAATCAGCAAAAATGAATAAAAAATGTATATATTAAGCCCCTTTTTTAAAACGCCAAAGTTCATATCAACTCACCACCCCACAGGGGGTGAGTTGATATGATTTTGGATTTTTCAAAATTTCTCGGCTAAAGAAGCTCAGAGGTGAGTTGATAAAATGCCAGTGTTTAAAAAAAGGATGAGAGAACACATCCTGAAAGAAACCATTAGATAAATGCTAGTAGTTTGGCAGCAGACCACACATTCATGAAAACGCAATCATGTCCAACACAGCGCGATCAAAATGGCTTGATTTTAGCAGCATCATTTTTTCGCTTTATGATACTTAGTTTTACTTAGAACATTCTGAACTTGGCTAGTCACGTGTCCTCAAGCCAACGGTATCAAAACTGGCAATATATTTTGGAATTACAAGTGTATTTTCTTGTAATTAAAACACATTGTCAGTTGCGGGTCAAGGTTGATATGCCTCTGACAGAAATAATGGATTGAAATGAAAGAATACATATACTTCTGAGCTTTTGTTGACTGGTAGTCAACAAAATATTAATGAAGTGAAGTGAAGCGAATCTAATTCGGACTGTATTCTAAGCGACATAAAACAGAATTCGGCATCAAAAGCCAAAATTAGCCCTCGCACTTATAGGCGGGCGAACGGACCACCTCGGCTTTTCGCACATAACTCGCGCAAAAAGCGGCCGATCACGACGAAACTTTCAGTACCTCTCGAGTTTATCAATTTTACACATGTTCTAAAGATTTCATGACTCTGACTCAAATGGTTTTTGACTTGTGACCTGATTCTCGAGACCATGCTTGGCCGGAATCGCGATTTGGCGTAGTCGGCTCACATTATCCGCGCATTTCCAGTCTTTTTGTGATTGTAACGTCCAAACATGTAAATGATGTTGGTCCCACGCAGTATTTTGGGTGTCAACTGTCAAGGTCACCTGAAGGTCAGGTCAGGTCATTGACCTTTGGTGACCTCGGTTCACTTTTTGGAGTTTTACATGTTTCTAGGGTAGTTTTTTTTCGGGCCGATTTCGAATTTAACATGCATTTGATCATTTATGAAGTAGTTTTAGTGCCTTCGTAACATGTTACGACACCGTCAGTGGTAGCTGACACTTGACACTCCCTATGGATAGCCGGCAGGACACCTACTGGTTGACCTGACCTGACCTGACCTGGCCTAAATGTACGAAGACATCTGTGAGCAAAACTAACATGACATTCGCGATCAGCAACAGCCAAAAAATAATAAACTCGCTTTACGAACTTCAAATAACCCCCTATTTTACCGACTTCTGGGTAATTGACCTGGCCTGGAAGGTTAACCAATGACCAAGTTGGTTATCATCGGCTTCCTCGCGTCTCGGGCAACACGCTCATTTTTTCCGCGAAGCTCTAGCTCCACCAGGGGCCAAACGACGATGGGATTCCAACGGACCCCCCCCCCCCCCCCATACGTTAAACGCTGGCAAAACACGAACACGGGCGAGGGCTAAACACCAGTCAATTTCTTTATATTGTTTGTTCCATTTCATTTTGCCTCTCATTCTCGGTTGGCAACTGCCAAGCAGGAAAACTAATCAGTTTCACGAGATCAGAATTCCCGCGCTGTTAGCCATACAGAAATGACAGTTCTGTCATTTTCGAAACTACGAATAAATATAACAGTTTTTTTTAACCTGTATGTAATATAGGTGTTCTATAGTGTTCCTTTGTAGCTTGTAGGGAGCCATCTTGAGACTTGACAGGGAGCTGTGCTGTGCCTTTTTTCATGTTAGGTATGTCCACAGAAAAAAAAAAAAACTTTGGGGTTACTGATGTTAGTTGTCGGACCTTCGTCCCTGTCTTGAGTTGAGATTCAGTTTCATAACGTTTCGGCCAGTTACTCTCCGGCCGTCGTCACTCGTCAGGTGTTCTTTGACCCTCAAGGACCTGGATGTTGGTGGCGTTGCGCCGTACGCGTCAAACAGTTCGAAAGCTCCTGTAGTCAGCGGGAATCGAACTCGGGTTTCCCCGGTGATGGTCCACGGTTGTAACCACTCCACTATCGAGGCAGGCTTGACTACGGCCGGAGAAGCTACTGGCTGAAACGTTGTGAAACTAACATCTCAACTCAAGACGGGGACGAAAGTCCGACAACTAACATCAGTGATACTAACAGGCCTCGTCTCAAGCATTCAGAAAAAAAAAACTAAAGCTTTTGGGGTTGATGGAATGATGTGGGGAAAGAAAAGGAGAAGAGTTGGTCTAATTGACTTTGTCTTACCTGCAGACCCATATTTCATGCTAATTTGCATGCCTACCAGCCTGGTATCAGCTTTTATCATGCATATCAACTCACCACCTGATGGCATATCAACTCACCACCTGTCACTTTTCTTAAAATTATAAAAAAGCGTTGTTATAGGTGAAACCCAAAACTACCTGGGATCAACAGTAAATTGATGGTAGTTTCTTTCCCAGTGCATGTTGTTTCATGAATATCCACCGTCTTTGCTGTAGGGTGGGGACTTTTCCTTAGTTTCAAAATCAGAAGAAAAAAAGGACTTTGAAAAAAGTAATGTGTTAAGAAGGCACTGCACCACATGCATGCCTTTCTCAGCTATATGCATCACTTATTGGTTGCTTCACTTCACAGAAAAATAAAACTAAAAATTGGTTTACAAATGGATGAGCAGCACACATTTTAACATTTTTCGAGCAATTTATATCAACTCACCACCCCATATCAACTCACCCCGGTTTACGGTATTTGGCCAGTGGCCAATAACAAGTCACGCCACTTATTCTATTTAGTTTTTAGAGCTGTTTGTTACTTTTTTTTTTTTTTTTGCTTTCCAAACTTCGCTGTCCCACAAATCTGACGAACCGCCTCCCTTGGCTTATGGTGTTTGCCGTACCATATCCCCGGATGTCATATGATCAGTCCCACGACTGCCGTACGCTTCCCCGTCCGTCTGTTGGCTTTATCAACCGGTGCACTGTCACCCGTTTCCGTACCTTCCCGACCACCGTGTCACCTCAATTACTGTGACACGTCCGTCTCGTCCCTCCGTCGGTCCGTGATGCCCATTTCCTCTGCCGGTACCAGTTACGCCGACCCGTACCTCTTTTGATCCGTGACGAGGTCTGTCTCGGTCCGTTCACGACTCCATCCTTCATGTCTCGGTCCCTGACGCCCCTCTAGTCTCTCAATCAGTCAGTCTATGACTCGGCCCCTCTCTATGTCGGTCCATGACGCCCGCCCGCACGTGTGTTACAGCTCTTCCGAGAGGTTCGAATAATGAAGATGCTCGATCACCCCAGTATAGGTGAGTATGGCGCGGGGAGCCGGGATCGGAGATCGCTGTGGCTGGGGAGGGCGTGAGTAGGCTGCCAGTGACGTCATTACAGCGACGTCAGTGGCCTCTGGTGACGTCAATGTGTCTTCTCCAATGTCTAGCGTCATGTGACACAACCGACCACCTGGGCGGGCCGGCTGTCTCTCACCCGTTGGTCTAAGTGTTTGTCGGATTCACCTGTCGGCGTCAAGTGTGTGACATTCTTGTAATGCCGGGTGTGGTAGTGTCTGCCATACAGAGGTCTGTAGGTGGGTGTGGCGGATATGGTTAGCATCGACAATCATTAGTGATGCAAACTTGTGGGCGCGATCCGGAACTAGTGAGGATGACGATGAATCTTGTGCCAAGAACATGGGGATCCCCGCGCTAAGCGCAGGCGAGCATGTGTAACGACATATGGCGTCACTACTGATCTATTAAGGACCCTCATATAGCCTAATTGTAATAGATGAATGTAATTGGGCCTTTGCTGCACGCTGGCATATCTGCGTGGATCACTTCTGAATCTAGGGATATCTCCTGTTATCTCAGCTCTGATGGTTTGATAGGCCAGTTAGGCGCGATGCGGTATGTCTTTATGTCTCTCCGGAACGTGCGTGCGAGCTCTCTCATGACATCCACCGTTCTGCCCCCGCAGTGAAACTATACCAGGTGATCGAGACGAAGAAGACTCTGTACCTGGTGATGGAGTACGCCTCGGGCGGCGAGGTGTTTGACTACCTCGTCTTCCACGGACGCATGAAGGAGAAGGAGGCGCGACTCAAGTTCCGGCAGATCGTCTCCGCCGTCCAGTACTGCCACCAGAAGAAAATCATCCACAGGGATCTCAAGGTGAGTGTCATTTCGGGCTCGGTTCGCTCTATACTGGGACTGGAAGAGTAGGAGGATAGGTGTTGGCTTTCACTGGGCGTTAGCAGACGAGTTTCCTCAAAATCCACAATAAATGTAGTTCAGTCGATTTAGGAAAGGACCAACGTGAGGCTCACACTTAATGGGTATGATTGGACAATGGACAAGCTATTGTAATTGTATCTTGTGCCATGATTGACCTATATCCAGTACATTTACACGTGCATCCGAACTATTTGGATAAACTGACAGGTGGAGTCTCCCTCCCTTCCAGGCGGAGAACCTCCTGTTGGACAGCAATATGAACATCAAGATCGCCGACTTTGGCTTCAGTAACGAGTTCACTGTGGGCAGCAAGCTGGACACGTTCTGCGGCAGCCCGCCGTACGCCGCGCCCGAGCTCTTCCAGGGTCAGTCGGAGGGGACGCGAGGAGAGACTGTGGGGTGTAGGGTGACTTATTCTTTAACCCGCGCCCCAGTGGCGGTCTCAGCCAACTTCGCCCTAGTGGGGGGGGGGGGGGGGATATGTTACCACCCATCTCTAACTCAAAAACTAAGAGGGCTAGAAAGACGCGGTAAAAAGCAGTCGATAGCTCTCAATGCGTACGTTTGAAAGTATTCAGTCATTTTTCATTTTAGAGCAATATTGGGGTCACCAGAGGTCATCAAAGGTCAAAATTTGCCAATGGTCATTATATTTTTCAGAAAACATGCCGTTATCTCAGGAACTATGGTAGCTAGAAAAACCATGGAAGAGCAATCGATAGCTTTTGAACTCTTCTTTTGAAAAGGTCATTATCAAACTTGACCTCAGGTCAACGGTTTAGCCTCCAGAGGGCAAAAACTCGAAAAATAGCTGTTTTTACGAAAAGTGTTTTTCGACAATAACTTTCGACTACAAAAAGCCACGACATTTCTATTGCCAGAATCGTGTTCCCCTCGCCGAGACGCGTCGAATGAACTATAATTTGACCTTGAAAGGTCAACTTGAAAATTTGACCTAAGGTCAGGGTCATGACCTGACCGGAAAAGGTCATGTTGCATATCAGTCGATGCGTCTCGGCAAGACAAACACAATGAGACCATCCCCAGCGTTCTATCTCCTTCCAATCGCGAGTTATTGGCAAAAATCTGTTTGTAGCCTCAAATGACCTCGGATGACCTTTCTAGAGGCTAATATCAGCAAAAATGACACCTTGGTCATCACGGATGGTCCAAATCATTGTGATTCTGAAATATTTGGACTGTTCCTATGCGTACACACGGATCTAGAGGCATTTTCATTTTTTCTCCATTGACTTGTAATGGAAATGTCACGCCACTGACCTGACCTTAGGTCACGGATATAAAAATCCGAGATATATAAAAATTGTAGGCGCCTATAACATCATGCAATCCACCAAGTTTAAAACCTTTCTGACAAACACTGCAGGCTGGACATGATTGCAAACTTTTTTAGGCTTGGTCAGTTAACTTGACCTGGTGACCTGACCTGACATGACCTGGGGTCAAAAATTTCACACATTGTCCAAAATTGATGTACCAAAAGCTACCCCAAGCGGCGCGGCGCTACGCGCCGCGGTTTTCTTTTTACACGCAAAAAACGCGACAGGGTGGTAACATATGCCCCTCCCCCCCCCCCCACTGGGGCGAAGGTTAATGGGGATCGTTAATTATAGGAGGATGCTTTGTAAAAGGCATTACAGCATTTGTCTGAAGTAAGTTATTAGCTGTCAATTTTTACAAAGTCTCGAAGACAAGAGGATGGCACAGGATTCAAATCCTATGCCACCCTCTCAACGTCGTCTAGCGTGGCAAAACATCGTCCGGTGATTTTCTTTGAAGTGTCAACAAACTTTGGGAAAGGTCATGCATTTTGAATCATTAACCCGCGCCCTGCTGGGGGGGGGGGGTGTTTGAACACCCCCCCCCCCCTTGTGGTTTTTCGCGAATATCTAAAAAACGGCGGCGCGGAGCGCCGCCGTTTTTGGTACACCTTATCATACATCAATTCTACACATGTTGTGAAAATTTCAGACCAAGGTCATTCAAGGTCAGGTCACCAGGTCACTTGAAGTGACCTCACCTCATAAAAACTTTCAATGTCTGTCATAGCTACACCGAGTGACCGATCGCTTTGAAACTTTCAGCGATTGCTAAGGGCAATAGCATGTACAAAATGTATATCTCAGAATTTTGATATCAATGACCTAAGGTCAGGTCAATTTTGCGACCTCGCCATTATAAGTCAATGGGAGAAAATTGAAATGCGCCTCTTTTGGATGCAAGACATTATAAACACTCCCAAACACCGAATTACAAGTGGTTTAGACACACTGAACATGAAAATGGTGTCCGTGACCCTTGTTTATGCCCTGAGGTCATCTTAGGTCACGAATGGTATCTAACAGTTTTTCGCAAATAACTTTTGATAGAGGCATGCTAGAGCGATGAAAACGCCTTAGATGTGTTCAGCTCGACGATACGGATCGACTGATATGCAACATGACCCTTTCCGGTCAGGTCATGACCTTGACCTGAGGTCAAATTTTCAAGTTGACCTTTCAAGGTCAAGTTATAGTTCATTCGATGCGTCTTGACGAGAGGAACACGATGCCGGTAAAAGTAAGCTCGTACAAGGCTTGGGTCAAAAGTTATTGCAGAAAAGCTGTTTCCGAAAAAAATCGGCTATTTTTGCAGTTTTTGCCCCCTGCAGGCAAAACCGTTGACGTTAGGTCAAATCTGAGAGAATTACTCAGAAAGGGCGTTAATAGGGCTATCGAATGCGCTTTTCCGCGGCGCTGTAGCTCTATTGGTTCCCGAGTTATGCGTTGGCTTCTTGGAAATTTTCGACATTCGACCTGGAAATCGGCGAAATTTTGCCTTCAATGACCTCTGGTGACCTGACCTTTGACCTGACCAAAAAATTGACCGAAGTGATTTCGTCATCATTTTTGACGCTCTTTCGAACGCCGCGTATCGCTACGTGGCCCAGGAGCCGAGTTACAAGGGGGGGGGGTGTTCAAACACCCCCCCCCCCCCAGCAGGGCGTGGAAATCCAGGACCCCCAGCCGGGCGCGGGTTAATGCCAGTAAGAGCTCTCTTTCGCACACGGCAACACGTGCTTCGACGTCTGTCCATGATAATTTGTGTGGGCGCCGATGACCACCACAGTCCAGGCGCCGTAAAACCCCAACTCAACATCATCCACTATAATTTGTCATCATTTTGCCGTATGGCTTGTATAACCTCCCGTGACACTCCTGTACTCACCTCACCAGGTAAGAAGTACGACGGCCCGGAGGTGGACGTCTGGTCCCTGGGAGTGATTCTCTACACACTGGTCAGCGGATCTCTCCCGTTCGACGGCTCCAACCTCAAGGACCTGCGCGAGCGGGTGCTGCGCGGCAAGTACCGCATCCCGTTCTACATGTCCACCGACTGCGAGAACCTCCTGAGGAAGTTCCTGGTGCTGAACCCGGCCAAACGGGCCAGCCTCTCGGTGAGTTAGAGGGGATCAGACTACCCGAGTGATGAGACAAGTGTCGTTATGTTTGCCTTGCTGACTTATTCTCTCCTAAGCATCGTCGGGTTCTGAAATCAGTCAATTCTGGAGTGCTTTATCTGTATAAATTAGATTGAGAACTGATGTTTCGTTTACGTGCATTGTGGTAGGTAAAAATTTGTATAAATATTCCACAGACCAAAGTTTGTTTTTCGTCGATAAGTGCGGCATCAGGATACAATTGTCTAACTCCGTCTCCCCGCTCACGCCTCACGCAGACGATCATGCGGGACAAGTGGATGAACTCTGGCTGTAATGAGGAGGAGCTGAAGCCGTACGTGGAGCCCGAGCACTGCATGGACGACCCGCGCCGGATAGAACAGCTGGTGGCGCTCGGCTATGCGCGGTCAGACATCGAAACCAGTCTCAAGGAGGGCAAGTTCGACGATATCTACGCCACCTACCTGCTGATGGGCCGCCGGGCTGCCGATGTGAGTCACTGACCTTTGGAGGGCTGGTGGCTACTGGGAAGGACATGGTCGGAAAGGGAATGACATGCAGTTTGGGAGCTAGGTAGGGCGGTTGTAGTAGTGTTCGTGTATTAGTGTGAGAGCGGATGGGTTATATGTAGTTCGACGACAGGAAGACAGCGTTTGTTTGGAGAGCGATTGAGACTGGGTCAGAGGCCTCGTGGCGACGATTGTGTATGGAGGAGTCATGGCTAAGTAGAGGGTGGTAAACGTATTGTGATTGAGTAAAATGTGGACGATTTTGTGTTTGAGCAGATTCTTGACGTTGGGATTCTGCTGTTGAACAGAGTCGTGCTGCCATGCTACCGAAAGCCATTGGATGGGGTTAAATATTCTGTCGTGTGACTGCGCCCCGCTGTCTCCCGATCTGACCACCTCCCTCCCCTGCCATCCCCAGCTGGAGTCGGACGGCTCTCAGTCGGGCTCCTCACTGTCGCTGCGGCACCTGACGGGTCCGGCTGCCGGCCCGCCGCCCACCAGCCGCCAGTCGCCGCCCCACCACAAGGTGCACCGGTCCATCTCGGCCACCTCAAACAGCAAGCCGAGCCGGCGCGCCTCCTCGGGCGGCGAGACGGTGCCGGGCGCGGCCCCGGCCGGCTCGGCGGCGCCCACCTCCACGGGCGCCGCGGCCGCCGCGCCGGCCACCACCGGCTCACCGGCCGCCTCCACCGCCAGCGTCACCAGCAAACGTGAGTCGATACAGCGACGGACGGAGATGATCGCTGACGGATTTCCCGTTCGCGTATTCATATTAATTTGCGGTCATGTTTTCGAATTAAGTTTATTAAATTTGTCGTTGATTGGTATATGTGTTTAAGACTCTTAACCATCTTAGTATTTTCACTATATTTGTTTTGTGTTATGTCAGTCTTCGTCTATGTCCTTCGGACCGCTGACGGGTGGTTTGGATGGTTCCAGGGCTGAGCGGCTCGGCGACCAGCCACTCGGTGCCCGCCAACCACACCCACTTCAAACGGCAAAACACGGTGGACCCGGCCACCATCAAAGAGACGCGCCAGGCGGCCAGCCGAGCCGCCGCCGGCGCCGGAGACTCTGAGCAGCCCAGTTCTCTGCCCAGCCCGGCCAAACCGCGCGCGCTGCCCAAGGTGTTCACTCCGACGGCGGCCAACCGGACGATCGGCCCCAGTGCCGGCCGGCGCTCGACGCTCGGTACTGAGACGCGGCCGGCCAGCGCCTCTGCCGAGGGCCGCACCCCCTCACTGCAGGCGGCCGGAGACCTGAGGTGGGTGACTGGACCGCGCTCCGCCGCCCGGAGGGGTGGGAGACTGACGTTTGGCGACGCAGCTTATGAATAATCTGGCTTCTCGGGGCTTGGGCGTGGCGTCTGGTGGATCTCTTTCCGGGGCTTCAGGGGCTTTCCTAGGTGCGTGGCTTTACTGATCCCGGTGATGGCTTTGCGTTACTAACATGACTGGCTCTGCTCTCTAACTCTCGCTGCTCTCACCGCTCTGTCATACCTGGCTGATCCCACACCGCGGATGTCTGGTCTGACCGTGCCGCCCTGCAGCTCCGGCGGCGGCGGCGACACGGCCCGGCCGGCGAGGGGACACGTCAAGTCGGCGTCGGTATCGTCAGGGGCGCCGGCCGAGTCGGCGGCAGCCCGCTCGCCGTCAGAACTGCGGCCCAGGTACCGACCGACCCTCTGGTGGCTCCCCGGCGGCCCCAGAGGCTCTCTGGCGGCTCCGTCAGAGCGCTTGCGTCGGGCTCCGGCTGGAGTGATACTGCCTGAGTAGCGCTTCGCTCTATGCTTTGCTGGCACGCCGGGGACGTTGCATGCATCGGTCTGTAGCTTTTCTCTTTTTGTGTTTTGCTGGTTTCTGCTTTGTCAGCTTGGCTGGTATTGCATGACGCTATTTCATTTTCTTTGCTCTGGAGCCTAGGCGAACCTTTTATTTTCGTCAAATATTGTAGTGTTTTCAGGTGATGTTCCCCTATATAATGCATATTTTGATATAAAAAGGCAAAAGCCATTCAATGTTGGGTACTAGATGTGGGGACAAATATACTTCTCCCAGCAATCTCGAAAGGCTTAGCAAAAATTGTGGATTACAAATGCTAATTTCTGTATTTGCCGTTTTATTTTGCATTGTCGAAGTTTTTTTTTTGTCCGAAGTATCTTGCAGCTCGCATGTGTTGGATGTGGCGTTGTATGATAATTTACATGCCGAGCCCTCCCTGTTCCTAAGGCGCGGTGGTCGTGGTCCTGAACCGAGCGCAGCCTAGCAGAGCTACTAGTTACTGTATCGTCCCAATATTGTACCTGTTGTGCCACTGGCGCTCACAGCGGTGTGTCTTGAGCCTTCTAGCTATCCAGTACCGTGCCGTGACTTGCTCCGTCGTTATGCGTGTACCGAATCAGCCCTAGTGTTACATGACTTACTTGACCCATCTATCTTTTATGTAGCACAGTGTGCCCTGGCGTGTCCCGTTGTTACCGCTGCTGCTCGCTCTGGCCTGTTCTCCGCTGGTTCCACCGCGCGCTAACCTGTCCCTCCCCCCGTCGTTACAGCAGCGCCGGTCGGACGGCGCCGCCTCTCTCGCCGGGCGCCGCGCCGCGCAGTGCTCCGTTCAGCCGCAACATCCCGAGTCGGTCGACGTTCCACTCGGGTCAGACGCGGGCGGCCGGCTACCGCGCGGCCGGCTACAGCCCGCACCACGACAGCGGCGGCCTCGGATCGGCCAACCGGACCTCCTTCTTCTCCAAACTGTCGTCGAAGTTCGCCAAGCGGTGGGTGCTAGGCTGGTTGGAAGGGGAGGGTAGATGGTGGGAATTTTCCAAGTAATTATTGTTCGCTCAGCATCTTCCCAATTGAATCAGGTAAAAATGTCCTCATGTAATCCGGAGATTATCTGTATGTGACTTGCCTACATGCTTAATAACTAGTCTCTTAAATTGATATATCCGTCCCCAATTAAAGCCCAATGCATGCCTTATCGCATAATTTTAGTGGACCGGCGATTCAGGATACGTTTTCTGTCCGTACCGACTGGTGAACTAACCGTGTCAAAGAGCCGTGTGTGACCGGTCAGCCCCCTGTGCTGCCGGCGCGCCCTCCCCCCCCCCCCCCCCCCCCCCCCCCGCTGGCCCGCGCGCCGGACCGCGGCTGCCCACTGTACTCGAGCTTCGTGCTTTGTGCGTGTGAGAGCGATCTGAGCGGACGAGTGTGAGAGAGTGAGTGAGTGAGAGAGTGAGACGGCGGCGTGTAACGCCATGTCCGCTCGCCAGGCCCGGCGACGTGGGAGCCGGCACGGCCACGCTGACGCCCACGCCGGCCCGCTCGGCCACCGCTGACAGGTATGGCCGCCGTCCCCGACCGACCGACCGACGCCGCGCGCCCGCGCCCGCTGCTGATCCGGGGCATGGTCGCACACAGGGTCTGGCTCAGTCCTCAAACCGCGGCACGAACAAAAATTGCAAACTGCTGTCGAGAGATATTGAAACATTTTTGGTGCTAGCTGATCACTGCTAATTGAGGCTAACATTAAAAATAGTGTGTTATCACTTCCATTGCACCGTTTTGTGATTGTTGTAGTCCGGTTTGGGGGCGCTGGGCCAGACCCATTGTTTTTTTAACGCAGCGCGCACACCACGCTTCAGATCACTGACTGCACTGAACGCACGGATATGGGGACTATAGGGGATACTGATGACCTGGGCGAGCGCACTGCACCTCACGTTGCTCCGTGGTGCACGCACATCCGCGGTCTACCGTCGCACGGTCGCATGTTTGCGGCACTGGCACGCTCAGCACGGTTGCCCTTGCACCGAAGCATGGTTACAGCTGACGCTCTAAGCCCTAAGGCCTCTAAGACGACCCAACATCCAGGCGATATATGACTGAAGTGAATATCATTGACAGCTGGACGTAGTTCACTTACGTGTACATCGGGCATCGGCACAGCATGCTTACTGGAATAGGAAGTGAAGCTCAGAAACGGACTATAGCCATAGCGAGAACTGACAGGCAGTGAACGCGAATGAAGGGTTGGGAGACTAATTAAACAAGGATGACACAGGAACTTGATATGTAACTCCCAAATGAGGGGAGTTCAGAGCGGGTGTGGGATCGAGGACGTGTGGACAAGTCGACAGTTTTGACGGTTTTGCTGGCGGTGCATGGGTAATGGACATCAGCTCACAGCTGCACAGTGTACTCGCTTGATTCCAGACCGGCCCAGTCCTCATGAAACTTGCTGGAGCTTGCTGGTGTAGCCATCTTCACTGTGTTACGCCTGTGTTTTGTATGTCTTTGTAACGGAATTTAACGTTTTGTGTGTCCATGAGTCATTGCTTACCGATAACACTTTGCTTATATTTCGTCTTTGCGTCCTGCAGACCTGGTGTCTCACTAACCAAGCCGTGTGTATTGTAGCGAGCTACCTTCCCCTACTGATCCCCCGTCCATATCCCCTGCGCTCGCCAATTAACCTCTGGCTCGTCGTGTCCCAGGCCACCGGCGGCTGCGTCGCCCGCGGGGTCACTCGGAGTCGCCTCCAACGGCGAGCCGGAGCCGGTCAAACCGCGCAGTCTACGCTTCACCTGGAGCATGAAGACCACTTCATCCAGGGACCCGCACGAGATCATGAACGAAATCAGAAAGGTGCGTTCGCAGGGTTTGTTTAACATCATGCACTTGTAGTCGAATCAGCTTGCTTATCATGGGGGAGACAGAAAAGGTGGATGTTCACTAAACCACTTCATGGTTTTTCTGCTGATTCGACATTGCATTGTCATATGTAAGTTACCCGAACTGCCGCTTTTAAATCCAAACAATTAGGTGTGAATGGATTAAGTTCGTCCTGTAAACCCGTTTAAAGTGTGGAACGGCGGCGGACTGCAGTATGACGATGCTATGGTCGTTTCCGGCAGGTGCTGGACGCCAACAACTGTGACTACGAGCAGCGGGAGAAGTTTCTGCTGCTCTGCGTGCACGGCGACCCGCGCACCGACTCGCTGGTCCAGTGGGAGATCGAGGTCTGCAAGCTGCCGCGCCTCTCGCTCAACGGCGTCCGCTTCAAACGCATCTCGGGCACCTCGATCGGCTTCAAGAACATTGCCAGCAAGGTGGCCAACGAGCTGCGTCTCTGACCCGTGCAGGAGCCGGCCGACGAGTGCTGGTGCAGCGGGGCGCGTGCCGAGCCGCCGCCGCCGCCGCCGCCGCGCCGCCGCCCCGCCCGCTGAGCCGGCCCGCACGCACGCGCAGAGTCACCCTTACCGCCGCGCCGGCGGGCGGCACTCGGCCGGCCGGCCGGCCGGACTAGCTGCAGACACGCCCGCCCGTCTTGATGATTTTTACACTAGTAGATTATTTATCAGTACCAGGTGCGACCATGGCAGCCGGCGTCGGCGGCCGCCGTCTCGCTGCCGCATTCAGATCTGTTTTCGGTGCTGACGCGGGCGCCCCGCGTCACCGCGTTATTTTACAGTTCGACTGTGCTTGGTCTCCTCGAATGGCGTAGCGCGCGCGCTCGCGCCGGCGCGACGCTGCTCCGCGAATGGGTGACAGCGCGCGCCGCGCCCCACGCGCCACCTGAGGAGACTTGTCGCGCGAGTGTGCAAGGAGAGCGAGAGAGACAGAACGAGCGAGCGAGAGTCGAGCGCGTGACAGACAGCTATTGTATGAGAGCGAGAGCGAGCGCGGGCGATGGACTAGGATGTGTCGGCGACGCCCCGGCGCGGTCGACCGTGTGATACGTTGTTGCTGCGCGTGCAGCGGTGGCGCCCAGACCTGTCTGCGCCACAGAGCAATGACGCGATTCTACTGTGTTGGGTTTCTGTTATTTCTGTGTACAGATCGCTAATAGCCCTAAAATACATGTGCTAAAGTGAGGTGTCAGCGATACCGTGACTGTTATTGGGCGAATGGATGACGGTTCTGCCAGAGATGACGACTACGAATTGTGAGAACTACCTGTCTAGCTGATCTTCGTGTGCTTTTTGGCTAAGAAGGCGTTGTTAGTTCAGGGAAGTTAAACCGGAGGAAGATCATAAACTTGTAGACAAAACTCACGTGCACAGTTATAGCTTATAACAACAGGCAGGTCCCACTAGATTTGTGATGCGTTTTGGACGCACTGCGAGGGAGACGCGGCCTTTTTGTCTCCTCCAATGCATTCCAGACGGACTCTCCAGCGGAACGGCACCGAGACCGTCCAGCGGCAGCTCTGACCCCAGTTTTCCCGAGATAGCTTGTCCGTGAACGCTCTGAAGAACGTTGACCTACAGCCTGGCAGGAATTAATTGGGAAGTGGTGACGTTTGTATGGTGGGCTGAGCTCATACTTTCAAATGATGAATGCAATCGAAAGTCAAACCACGTTTGTTTCCGTGTGGAATACGCCGCTCAAAAAGCAGACGCTTGAAGTAATAAATTGCTAGTGTAAATTTGGTAAACTTGAAAGGAAGTCTTGAGGCAAGGATTGCGCGCCAGAGACATAAACAAGTAAGACATTTTGTTCAATGTCACTTGCTACGAAAGACCCTCCAGCGTTTTCAGCGTTCCTTTACATTGCGTTTTAGATTCGCAAGCAGAGAAAAATTTTCGAGTAGTGCTTTTGAACAAGAATCAAGCACTTGCTTATTGCTTCCTGTCGGGACTGCTGCGTAAAAGCGCATTCAGCAAGGTCTGAAAAACAGCGGGAGTTTTTGACGTACGGTTACCTTTTTGTATTGTTGAATTGGAATTTAATCATTCGAAACTATCAAACTGTACCTTTGATTCCATGCCTAATGTTAACCAGCACATTGAAATGTCGATGCTGTGACTTGTGTTGTCAAAATTGTTCCGCATAATATCTCATTGCATGTTTCCCTCTGCCCTTTTTGTGCAAATTGCAGAAATATTTTTAAATTTAACTGTTCAAACTTTCTCTTCAGTTTTGTTGATATCAATATTGTGCACTGATGTAGAGGTAACTTGAACTAGGTATACCCACCTGTATCTGCTAGCACCTTGAATCTAGGCTACGATTTTAATGCTATTTCATTGAATTTAAGACCGTGTTTGAATTTCCATCCTGAATGACATGAATGAACAAGATGAGCATGAATGACAGCACCATTTGCATTCCAGATATCATGGCAGCTCTCCCTCAGCAGTTCAGCAGATGGAGTTCCATGCTCCTGAGGACCAGAGTCGGTCCTGGGAACTTCAGTTGGGCTTCTAGCCGGCTGGCCAGCAGTCTAACCTCAGTGCATGATGCTGATGGTGTCAGACATATCACAATGACTTCACCCAAGACCAGGAATGCTTTGTCTCTGGAGATGCTGAGTGAGCTAAAGGTGTGGCATAATATTGTCCCTGTACCTATGAATTATAATTGCAATTAATCAGTACAAATACACTCTGAACTTCCATAACTTGCAACAAATTCATGAGTTCCTGTGTCTATATGCATTAAATGTCAGAGGTATCAGGTAAGCTGGTATGATAATCTTTCCACCATTTCACAGCATTAGAGCAAGGCTGGATTATTTGAAGATCGTTTCCATTGCAAAGCTTCAGCTATGAATTTTATACTTTTTGCCTTTCAGCAACTATCCTTGAAGGACTAGCGACATCTCAATTTCTATCAACTATCCTGAATGAGGAAAAAATTGAATTACTCACATAAAATGCCCAGAGATTCCATTCCTCCCATGATTTGTTCTGAGTGAATGAACCTCTACAATGCTCATGATCTCCAGGAGCATGTGAATCAGCTGTCCTCCAGCACCCGGGTGGTAGTGCTGAGCGGTCAGGGCCCTGCCTTCTCTGCCGGTCACAACCTGAAGGAGTTGACCAGTGCAAAGGGTCGCGACCACCACCAGTGCGTGTTCGATTCCTGCACGGAGCTGATGCTGGGTCTCCAAAAGCTGGAAGTTCCTGTCATTGCGCAGGTGAGCCCCGGATGGCTCTTCAATGGGATGTCTCGAATGTATTTAGCAATGAAATGATGGTGACAATGACTTGCCAGAGAATCAGTGCGATCATCGTGTCTCCGTGTTCCCTGCTCACGGCCGCTGACGTCCCCTCTGCCGCCTGGGCTGCCAGGTTGACGGCACGGCGGCGGCCGCCGGGTTCCAGCTGGTGGCCTCGTGCGACATCGTCATCGCCACGCCGCGCTCCAGCTTCTCCACGCCGGGCGGCAACGTGGGCATCTTCTGCTCGACGCCGGGCATCGCCGTGTCGCGCGTGCTGCCGCGCCGGCTGGCGGCCCACCTGCTGCTGACCGGGCTGCCGCTGAGCGGTGAGGAGGCGCTGCGTGTCGGCCTGGTCAGCCGGCTGGTGGAGCCCGACCAGCTACAGCACGAGACGGCCCACATCGCCGCCGCCATCGTCCGAAAGAGCAGGAGCGTCATCGCGCTGGGGAAGAAGTTCTTCTACCAGCAGCTGGAGCTGCCGATCGACGAGGCCTACCGGCTCGGTAGTCGGCTGATGGTGGACAACATCGCACTCAAAGACGGACAGGAGGGTATCAGGGGATTCATCGAGAAGCGGGAGCCCAAGTGGACCCACACGGATGACAAGGCACATGACTAGGACGGTCGAAGGGGTTTGTATCCGCGGGGGTGGGAGGCTGTTACTGGGGTAACGCACATTAATATTTTGTTGCATGTGCGCTGCAACCGTTGAGTTATCGGCTGACGGCACAAATATGGTTGGCTTGGCTGGCGACCAGATGGATGCTTTCAGCGAGCTCCCTTTTGCATTAACAATGTCATTATGTCGTTGTAGTTGGATAAATCGGGAAGTGTTTGCCGGCTGCACACCGCACGGCATTGGATGTTCAGCGGGTTTCAGTTGTTGCCTTCTGTGCAATAACGATCGGATTGAGGCATTGTCGAGGATGCTTCCCGTTTATGATGCTGTTTGAGTTATTGTGCTTGCAACTCAGATGGTATAACTGTTAACTGTTTAATTCCGTAAGTAATAAGTTATGTCAGTCAACTTGGGCATTGTTATTGTTCAGATTGGCTGAGGTTTGTACTGCATCCATGCTGTTCATGTCTGTTCAGGGTGTGATTTTGTTATCGTATTGTGCTTCAGATGTGTCAATAAACCCACATACATTGGAATCCAAACGCGTTCACATCTCGAAACACAACCTTGCTGATGCCCGACTCGTCTACGTCATTAACGCTACCTCTTCTATCACTATTTTTTTAACTGATCCTCCCTCGCGCTATAACTTCGGCTTCGCCCTTTCAGAATTCCGCGTATGGCGTGAGTAGCTCAGCAATGGGCTCTCCCCTATATATTATCCATCCGAGAAGGGTCTGCTTCGTAGGTGGGGGCCTTCCCATGGGTGATCTTCCAGCTGCATAAAAATGAGCAAATATTCAATTCAAAGCGACAATTTACAACGACATATTCTTTTCTCACTGTGCATTTTTCGAGCACACTCCGTTAGCTTACCGATGCGTAAGAGTGATAAGGTAAAGGCATGGTAAAGGTAAGATTCTGGTAAAGGTGCAAGGTTTCGTAAAGTTGCAGCTCTGGTTGACTGCACGCATTTGCGGCAAAATATTGCTTTTCGTGATATTATGATTCTAATCAAGGTAAGTTGCCGATTTGTTCATTTTGAATATTACAAAATAAATAGCATTTATTAGAGCAATGCTTATCTCATTTTGCTGCCTGATTGTAGAAAAGCGGAAAGTGCAATTAAAACTTTTGATTTGTTACATATAATGCGCAGCTGCTTCAAACAGTGAATTTATCGAATTCCGCGGGCGCGTTCACCAATATACCCTGCGTTCACACGCTAGGATTGTGTGGTGAATTGTTATATATTTTCTATAACTGAGAGCAGATCAGTTAATTCGAAACTTGATTTGCACCTTGAATTTCCTTGACAGCACCATTGAAAGCTCGCAAGATGTATACTCCACAAGTCAACGCAATTTCTCGGGAATCATTTTCTGCCAGAGGATCTCCGAGAACGTCTGCAACTAAGTCAAAATCTGCCATAAAATCACGTGGATTGCTCAGCTCATCATTTTCTGCAAGGTAGGTTTAATTCAGTAATTATTTTTCCGACACTGCACTAATAAACGGTTGTTACTTGTAATGTAAAGATTGTTTTCAGTATTCTGCATTTATGGTGCATTTCAACATGTTTGCACCCACAACCTAGTTGCCTGCTGCAGAGATATTGTTAAGGTGCCTACCTACCTTAGGTAGGACGTGACTTAAAGATGTTGGTGCCAAATGGCACCTTGAGATGTCAGTGAATACCTTAATACAGCAATTATATTCCGTTCCATGTCAAGGTTGAGGTTGGAGTTCCTTCGGCAGTTAGTTCCTCCATTCAATAATTTGCGTATCTGAGTGTAAAAGCTGTATGTACAGAAAGTACCCCCTGCTTTCAGCAGGGCACTTTGGCTGCAAGCTTGGCATGGATCAGACTACAGCAACATCATATATATTGATACCTCATAAAATACCAATGTTTGCTCTACAGTGTTTTATCCTTAGCTATCTAAACCTGGATGTTGAAGATTTTTCTTGTGAATTATTTTGTATTGTTTTTCATTTTAACATATTTTTTCTTTGAAGCTTCCTGTTACATTTCTCATTTCTCTCATTCTCACTCAACATTTCTCATTTCTCATTTCTCTCATTCTCTCATTTTTCATTCAACATTTCTCTGTTACAGTCCAGGGGCTGGTCTGCATACTTCAAGGATCATTGAAGAGACTCAAGAATACTCTTTGGAGTCATTGGGGTCTCCCAATGACTTCCTGTTACATTTCTCATTTCTCTCATTCTCATTCAACATTTCTCATTTCTCATTTCTCTCATTCTCTCATTTTTCATTCAACATTTCTCTGTTACAGTCCTGGGGCTGGTCTGCATACTTCAAGGATCATTGAAGAGACTCAAGAATACTCTTTGGAGTCATTGGGGTCTCCCCTTCCAGTGCTGGTCACTGAAGTGCTGTCTTCATCTGAGAGTAAGTTTTAATGCTAGTAAATGTGGGTGTTACAATGACTGAAAAGAGTATAAACAAGTTGAAATTTTACTGAATATTGAAAAATAGCCAGAATGAAAGGTTATTATGTTGCTTTCAATCAACAGGAGAAATAACAGCATTGGCCTGCTTTTAAATTCCCTGTTCTATTTTACAGAATGTGGCTGTCACAGCTTTATCACAGTTGATTGAGATGCATGTGTTCCTGTGAGTCATATTAGATGTGGTATGCATTTCAGCCTGTTATCTTTGACTCCTGTTCGCATGGTGTTATGTATAAGTCCAGGTGTCATAGCTCTTGTATCCTTTCCCCAGGATCTGGCGAGGTATCGGTGCAGGTGTCGGAGCGCGGCTGGGCGTGGCTGGTGTGCGGCCGCCGCCTGTTCGTCTGGCGCTATGCCCAGTCCAGCTCGGAGGCGGCCTCTCGCCGCCTGGCGCTGTGTCGCGAGCTCACCCTGCCGCCCAGTGACCTGGCGCACCGCGCTGAGCTGGTACAGGTAAGACGCCGCCGGATTCTACAACAGCGGGGAGGGATCTCGGCTCGTCACACATTGACCTGTTGCACCGTGCGAAGTCGCTACAAAAGGGGCGTGTGGCGGGCTCCCGGGAGGGACTCCGTACTCTGACGTAGGTACGATGGAGTGGTCGTTGAATCGTTCTTTGATATTAGGCATATACTTGCAACAATTAGAGACTAATTTCATGGGAATGCAGAAAGGGCTTTTAGTTTTACACCTGGTACATCAGTTGGTAGTCGTCAATGTCACTAATTTCTAACGTTTCGAAAGTAATCTCGTTAGTTCGGCAGTCAGTAATGCTTCGTAACTGTCTGACCGCTCCCTGTGCGCGCCGCCAGGTGCTCGGCGGCTCCGAGGTGCACGTGCCCAGTTGTCTGGCAGTGTCCCCCGAGGGCACGCTGCGCTTCTGGCCCAGCGTCATCTATGAGAGCTCCAGCACTGAAAGCAACGCTGACCTGCAGGTACGGTAATGGGGATGCTTCAGGAACACGATTTGGTAGTGTGGGATTTTGCGTTCAAGTAATCGCTGTTAGTGTGAACGAATCACGCGCAACGATGTTGGATTAGATTGGTCCAATCTCTGGACTATGACGGATCTCTAAAATCGGACAGTGCTTTGTTGCGGGCGTCCTGTGACGCTTCATACATGCGAAGATGCCAACTTTTGACCCCACGCCCCCCCCCCCCCGCGTGTCCAGGGCCAGGAGTGTGAGCGTCTGATCTGTCTGGGCGACTCGAGCTGCCTGCTGGCCACCACCACGTCCACGCTGGTGCTTGTCTCGTGGCCGGGCGGCGCGCTGGGCTGCCGTCGCCTGGCCCCGCCGGCCGGCCTGCTGGGCGGCATCGGCCGGCGCGTCTCCTCGCTCATCTGGGGAGCCATGCAGACCGCCGGAGCTGAGGAGGTGAGGACTGGAGACGGACAGACGGACGGGAGCGCAGGGGGACCCACGGTGATTGGGGCGGGCTTCGTCGGCGTTAGATAGTTACCCTGTATTGGTCTTGCATACTGCATTGATAACGAGGAACTGTGCAGCTGAATATGCTTGATTCACCACAAATTGAGAACACCACAAGTCTTGGACACAAGATTGTGCTTTTTTTAACTAGGAATAACAAATGCTATTTGAATATTTCTCCATCCTTCATTCTCGTATGAAAATCATTTATGAACGCATTGCCATTTTCATGAGCAAACTATCGGTTCTCACTAGCGACCATGTCGCACACCATCTGATACCCTGCCCCCCTCTCTCCAGCCGCTGGTTTCACTGCGAGCGGCGGCGCCGGAGGAGCCGGACTGTATCGGTCACACGGTGTACGTGATGACAGCGCGCCACCTGCAGCGCTGGTGGGTGGCCGACGCCGAGCACATGGACTCGCAGCTCGACGTGGAGCGGCTGGCGCGTGACGCTTTCGTTCAGCACCTCTGGGTAAGCAAATAGGCCGCGGAGGCACGCGGAGTTAATCCGTAAAGGAACGGCAGGTTTTGTTTTGTGTGTAATGTCTGAATATTGAAAGCTCCCCAGAGCTATTGAATGTAAGCTATTGCTGTTCATCTATTTGTTCATCGATATGAGCTTTTCGTTTCCGCAGAGTGCCGACACAGCCAGCGAGGAACTGGAGGTGACCCTGCGGGACCTGTGGGTGACCAACGTCGGCATCGTGGTTCTGGCCACCGCACTGAGTCCCACTCAGCCCGGCACGGCCGTATTCGCCATAGGTAAGGCGATGTGCCAAAGCGGTACTTCTTCCCCACACAGCACGGCACGGTCGTATTCGTTATTCTGCTGGACTTCTTTTTGCAAAGTTACTGGTACAGCTGATGCGATTTTTACGTTACTGTGCGAAAAGGCTAAGGTGTTACGACAGGACACCATGATTCGATTGTGTCCTGTGCACACCGTGAAATGGGCCAGTGCACAAAATCATCACCTCACTTTCCGGCCTATTAAAGCAGACATTACCTCATAAGGTCTGCTAGCAGACCTGGCCATTTCACTGAGTATTACACTCATAGTCAGGTAAAAGCCCAAGATGAAATTTCATTATCATCCTCCCATGATAATTTCAACGACATGCTGACGTATCTATGTATTGTAGTCTACGTCATTGTTTCTTTACAAAACAAAACATCTTGTACATGGTGGCCACACAAGCAACATGAGGATTGATCGGTCGCATGCGGCATAAAGCAAAGTTTGTCGACTGGTTGTTGCTTCTATACTAACTAAGCGACAAAGTTCTTCAAGTGTATGGCCTTCTTCTTTGCAGTCGATGTAAATATTAAAACAGAAATGGCATTGGAAGCGCTCGACCGAGAATCTCTGGTCGGGAGATAATGGCTTCACCTTGGTTTGACCGTTTCAATAATGCGCTGGCTAACGTCCTTTGGACACAGTATACAGTCATCCCTTACTTCACCACATATCAAGAAGCACATGGCTCAAGAGCGGGCATCGATATTCATCTTCATCTTCATCTTCATCTTCGTGTTATCGGGACAAGAGGCACGATGTCCTGTAGGGCCCGTTCTCGCCGATTTCCATAACTTCACTTAGTACTCAGTCTGTTACAGGAGTGGAGTACCAGATCGACTCCCAGTGCGCATCCAGCCTGTTCTTAAAGACGTTGACTGAGGGCGAATGTACAATTTCTGCTGGAAGCCCGTTCCAATCGTTAATACACCGTACAGAAAATGAATTCAGTCTGGCACGACAGGTTGCACGAGGCTTCCGTAGTTTAAGTGTGTGACCCCGAGTTCGCCTTTCAGGATTCGTTGCCAGAAGCTCTGAAGGATCAGTATCAACGTGGCCGTGCAGCATCTTGTATGCGTGAATCATATCCATGCGTCTACGCCGATAATACAGTGACGGGAGCTTCAGTCTCTTCAGCCTTTCAGGATATGGAAGGTGGCGGATGCTCACCACTAACCGGGTGGCTCTTCTTTGGACCCTTTCGACTGCCTTCTGATCAGCTCTATTGAACGGACCCCAAACAAGACTGCTGAACTCCAGGTGAGGCCGCACGAGAGATTTGAAAAGAAGAGGCAGGGTAAATTCATCTAAAAAGGCGAAGGACCGGCGGATGACCGCAAGAACTTGAGACGCTTTGAAGACCGCCGTAGACGCTTGCTGTCGAAACTTCAAGATTGAGTCGACCTGCACACCCAGGTCTCTCTCGACTGACGTGTTTGTCAGTCTGTCCGACCCCATTTGAAATGAGTGGCGGTCCTTGGCTGCACCAACATGAAGCACTTTGCACTTATTCTCGTTAAATGGCAGCTGCCAAGTTCTAGACCATTCCACGAGGGCGTTCAGGTCTGCCTGCAATGTCCGTACATCATGTTCAGAAGAGATGCCTGAGAACAGCTTTGTGTCATCCGCGAACATTCGCACATTTGAAGTGACAGCATCTGGCAAGTCATTGACATAAAGCAAGAAGAGCAATGGGCCCAACACTGAGCCTTGGGGCACACCACTGCGCACAGGGACCAGGTCTGACAGGTTTCCATATAGGGACACTTGCTGCATTCTGCCTTCCAGGAATGATTCAATCCAAGACAACACTCGGTCACCAATACCATAACAGCGCAGCTTGCCTATCAGTCTCTTGTGTGGGACGGAGTCGAACGCCTTTCGGAAGTCAAGGTAAATCACTTCGACCTCCGTCTTGTCCTCCAACAGGCGGCTCCATGAGTCTATAGAGTCAAGCAGTTGCGTGTCACAAGATCGCTTCGGGCGGAAGCCATGTTGGTCCTTGGACAGCAGGTCATTTGACAGCAAATGGTCCATTAAACAATCACGGATGAGCGACTCAAGAATCTTACAGGGAACAGATGTGAGGCTGACAGGTCTATAGTTTCTTGGGTCTTCCTTTTCACCTTTCTTAAAGATGGGTATGACTTTACCGTGCTTCCAGTCTGCAGGAATAGACCCAGTTTCAAGCGATTTTCGGAACAGTAATGTCAAGGGAAGGGAGAGAGGACCACTCAACTCCCTTAAAACGCGGGGGTGAATGTCATCAGCTCCTGGGGCACTATTGGGGTTCAGTGCTTTAAGCTTTTCCATCACCGTGAAAAGGTTGACTGGTATATCGATCAGCGGCGGCCCTGTGTAACGGTTTGCTAGTTGTGGCACGACATCCGTTTTTTCAATAGTGAATGCGCCTGAGAAGACGTCATTCAGGAGCGAGGCCTTCTCTTTTTCCTCGCTAACAAGCTGGCCCTGGTCGTTTCTTAGATCACCAATACTTGATTTAACTTTACGGCGGCTGTTCACATATTTCCAAAAAGCCTTCGGGTTTACTTTCATGTTTGCTGATATCTTAGCTTCAAAATCTTTCCTTAACTGGCGAGTCAATGTCCTAAGCTTATTTCTACAAATCTTGTATCTGCTATAGTCGATCGGGTCTTGCGTTCTCATGTACACTGACCACAGTACCTTCTTCTTCTTCTTGAGGTTTAGTGAACGGCTATTCATGTAAACGTTCTTTTTAGACTTGACGCTCCTTGCTTTGGGTATGCACTCACTCATCAGCGATTCAAGTTTGCTCCTAAACCACTTGTAACCCGCGTCTACACTCATGGTTGACAAACAGCTCCAGTCAACTGCATGTAGTTTTACACGCAAGGCCGTGAAGTCAGCGCGGTGAAAATTCCATTTCAAGCCGGCAGAAGAACATTTTTTGTTGTAACAGGCAATATCGCATTTCAGTAGCACATGATCACTCCTTCCTAGTCCAGGACAATATTTGATCTTTGTTATCATATTCTCATCATTTGTAAACACCAAATCCAGTATACTAGGCCTACAACCCTCTCTAAATCTGGTAGGCTTGGTGACATGCTGGAACAGGAATGCATCCTGAACGGCAGACAAAAACTTGTTGGCAAAATGTGCTTCAGATGCGCTGCAAAAGTTGTTTTCCCAGTCAATCTGAGGAATGTTAAAATCCCCAACAATGAGCAGGTGAGTGTGCTTGAGAGAAATCGCATTTTGGAGTAAGCAAGACAAATCATCAACACTTCGATGGGGGTCGCCTGAGGGGCTGCGATAAATGCATCCGGCAAGTAGCACGTCATTGTTTTCCAAGCGCAATTGTACCCAATTGCGCTTGGAAAACTAATATTCACTCGGGTTCAGCCACTAGCAGCAGGTACTCTGATAGTTCAGTCGTTCCGGGCCGTACAGAAGTCTGCCAGAGACGACTACTTCAGTGGACGTTCCATGGGACCGCACCATGTTCAGACACCACGCGCGACGCGAGTTTCCAGTGTGTCTCAGTGTTCTAATCACCGTGAGTCCCACACTACAGTCACCACTAGTTGAGCGTTTCTCCCTTGGTCACGCGCGCCTCCAGATAGTCTATCTTCCGCTCCAGCTTGGTCAGCTTCTCGTTGAGGATGGCCAGCCGCGACTTGCAGCTGAGGTCGAACGAGTTGAGGAACTCGGCCGTCTTCTTGATGCTGTTGGTGATGACCTCGATGTACTCGCGGTTGGCCCAGTCCTGCTGGATCTGCATTTGAATGGCCTCTCGGTGGTTGGTAGCCATGATGGGGACTGTGGGCGACAAAAGCATTTTTAGAGGCCATCATCGAACCGCATATCAGAGGCTGCAATAAATACCATGATTGAAAGTCTCCAAGATAGAAATAGTGAACTGATGCATTTGTAAAAGGTCCAGAAAACATCTCTCCCTCTTAAAATTTTGTGTAGAAGTATCTTGCACTGGGTTCGATCATGGATGAGGTAAAAGATGAGTGTTATCTCAACCATGGTATTTGGTAAGATATTTCTTTGTGGTGGAAGTTTCATTTTCATTGCAGTTATGACAGCTTAAACTTTTAAAACTCTAGCTGAGCACTGTTTGAGATATGCCATGAACTAACAAAATTACAAAAAATATGGGTCAACAAAATTATGGGATGCAATGGAAGTATTTTTTTCAGATGTACCTAACATGTGACTGAAACATTGTTAGTGGATGTTTAATTATCACCACTGCCAAATTGTTGGCATTTTTCCTATTTAGTGAAAAGCATATGAACTGTGCTGTTCATAAATGAGACAGAAACCTCAGTATGTAATTTCCATTTAACGGAGTGCCAACCAACAGCATGCTGATTGAATTAGGTACACACCCAAAACTGCGATAGGACCAAAGTTGATGTTTGGCACTTCCTAAATTATGCTCAACAATTAAAATAGTTGCCAAACCATCTGATGTGTATATCAGGGTAGTTACAGTCAACTAGAAAATGATGTTCTGCCTCTTACAAGGTAATAGTTGACTGAGACATTAGGATGTGCCATTATTACTAATGCAATTTAATGTATCTGGTTTTGACAGTGGCGGATCCAGGGGGGCAAAATGGGCATTTGCCCCCCCCCAAACGGCATGATTTTAACATTGCGCCTATGGACGATGCATGGAAAGAATCGATAAATTTTTATGGTTTTCCCCCCCCCCCCAAACCTCTGAGCTGGATCCGCCTCTGGGTTTTGATACGGGCAGGGCCACCAGACAAGCTGTCACTCAGTCGGTATGAAATGTTGATAAAACAGTCTATAAGTTCAGGCAACTGTTTTCCTGTGAGGAATGGTATATCATGACTTATTCATGAAAACATTGTTCTACTCCTGTCTGAACACAAACACATTGATAATACAGAACATTTTTAGCCCATAACAGGCAAAAAGAATAGTTGATCAAAGTGTCAAGTGTTGTTTAAATTGATTAATTTAACTTCATGGACTTTGAAAAACATGCAGAACAAAATTTGAATACATGAAAATTACAAAATGAAAAGCTTGGTATTTGTGGTGGAATATTTCCATCCATTTATGATGAAAAGATACAGGATAAGTAACTAACTCACTTGTTCTTTTCAATCGTATATTCTTCCTGAAAATACAATAAACTGATCTGAGCACACTTTAACACAAATATTAGAAAAACGCACCAACCTGTGCAATCCACAAAGCAAATAAGTGTTGTGTTGCGATTGTTGCGCAGATGCTACGAAATTGAATGGAAGCGCTCGTAATACGGAGAAATTTCAAAAAAGTCCCTAGATACTATAGTTCAGCTAAATTCTCTAGCTATTGTTATTTGACCGAAACATAGGGCTGGAAGATGTCGTATCACGTATATGCTAATTGCTGAAACGAAACACTTATTAGAATTAGATGAGCTTTAAAACAATTATAACAATTATATTGAAAATATAATTGAAAAAACAATTATATTGAAACAATTATATTGCCGGTCCCGTAGCTCAGTCGGTAGGGCAGAGCGTGGGACTTCGCATGGTGAGAGCAAGTGTTCCTGGTTTTATCAGTCCGGGCTCGAAGCGCGACGGGTGCTTGACATTTATGGGCCTCCTGGCTCCTGACGGGCATGGTTGCGGTTGGTGGCAGGCCGTAGCCAGGCGAAGTCAGCGAGGGGACCGGCCGTGCGCGGCTATGTGCGCACGTTAAACTTTGGACTCCAAATTCTGCCACAGAACCGGAGGGCTGTTCACGGGCCCTGTGTGCGGTCGGACCGCACACAGCCTCCAAGCTCCGCCCACTGCGTCCCTACGTCAGCCTTCCGTCACCGCACACAGCGAACGCTGTGGCCGGTCGGGACTGGCCACAGCGGACCGTCCACCGCACGCAGCCGTGACGTCAGAGCCGCCTACCCATCCCCTACCCCCACGCCTGCTGGACGCACCGCACACACCGCACGCAGCAGTGTGCGGTGCCCGTGAACACCCGGAATTGCGCGATCGGAGGGTAGAGGGCAGGGTCATACATGCAGTTTTGCAAGAAATGGATAAATCATTTGGAATTGATAACGATTGAAAACTTCTCTCATTTTTTAGACAGACTAGCAGCAAAGTCCCGCGGCCCAACTGTTTTCCACACTAATCGAGATGTGCGGGACTGGAAGTCTCAAAATTGTCGCAGCTACTGACTAGCCAAGTCCGAAATTTGTTGGGATTTCCCGAACGTGCCCGATTAGGCTGGGACTGGTCGGAAGTTCCGGAGTTTGTCCCAAGTTGTCAACGTTTTTCAGCCATACCTATCCCCGTACCGTACTGCTGGCAAGGGATGCTCTTAGCTTAGGTTGCTGGTATACAAAATCCAGATATGTAGGTATGCGACAACCTTATTTTAGCCACAGATGAGTAGGCAGATCAGGTTTTTTTCCGTTTTCGAAGTCTTCAATCGATGAATATGGCCACGGTGATAAGTGGCTTTCGCAAAATGAGTTGTGAGGTGATGACCCGACATCGTCTTCACACCCTCTCTGTGCCTTGTTCGTAGGTGTGCTGGAGGACAGCGTGGACCGTCTGCCGCGCCAGTGGTCCCGGTTCGACGTCGTCCAGTACACGCTGCCGGTCGAACAGTGCGCCGGCACTGAGCTCCGCCTGCTGGCCCCCGGCGAGCGGGCCTACATCCAGCTGCGGCGTCAGATCCTCTGCGTCAACCGTGAGTTACCTCCTGCTGCCCCCTCCCCCCCCCCCCCGGCGAGCGGGCCTACATCCAGCTGCGGCGTCAGATCATCTGCGTCAACCGTGAGTGATCGGCGCTGTATTATATACGCAAACATTGTGTGGCCGGTGTCAGATCGTCTGCGTCAACCTTTGCTAACCGGTGTCCCGGTGTCTTCAATCTTTGTCAACCGCGAGATATCAGCGGCGATGTGTCGTTTTCACACATGTGACAGTAACTGTGTTCGGTCGACATCCGTCAGTTATCCATCCATCCTGTCTATTGATGCCCTCCCGTTACAACACTGTCCTCTATCTCCTAATGACCGCCACTCCCTTCGGCAGTGTCGTGTCCCTCAGAGCCGGCCGAGACGCTGCGTCTGTCGTCCCCGTCCGACCAGGTGCTCGGATGGGGTCTGGGCGCCGACTCTGCCCCGCTGGTCTTCACCAGCCACCACGGCCTGCTGAGGCTGAACGCGCGCGCCCCCTGCGGCGCCACCACCGTCGCCGATACCAGCACCACGTATGTTGAGAGAGATCAGCGGTCTTACAGATTATCGTTTTATTTTGCTACCGTGTGACATTTTTGCTTTCTAGCAATGTCTAATGACACCTTTTGTAAAATGCGTTTCGTTTGAGTCGTATTTTTATCGCGTAAGCAATATAAGAATTACGCTCCATCTGAAATACATTTGATAAATGTTGGCGTACATTCGTTGGTACATCATACGTTCTTAGTGGAATCGCTTACATGCGAGGCTGCTGTATAACACGTGACCCTCCGCCCCTCCCCGTTTCAGCGTCCCCGGCTCGATGTTGACCATGGACCAGAGCCGGCTGAACCAGTCTCTGAACGTGTCCATGACTCAGGCAGACGTGGATGAGCTGACCTCGGGCGGTCCCAAGGCGCGGCTCCGCGCCGCCTGCATCCTCTACTGCCGGAACGAGCTGGTGAGGGGTGGTGGGAATGGGGAGAGATTAGGGGCAGTGATTGACTAATGAGGGCAGGAGAAGGACAGCTGGGATCGAACAGTGCGATGTGCGTTTGATGGATTTGGTAGCCCAGAAACCTTGGTCAGAAACGTTTGCAATTGGCAACAACGATGTAATTTCATGCTGGGCTCAGCTGATGTTGGTTATAGGAACTGTTGGTGATAATCTAAGTTCTTTTTAAGCTGCCCGCTGCTCGATTCTAAACAACGTCTATTGCAGCGAGCACAGCTTTGGTTTCGCTACCACTTTGCACCGGCCCAAGAGCAATGGGCGCAAAATGACCCCAGTAGTTGGCGCGCCCTAACGCTCCAATAAACTACAATGGCCCAAGAGCAGCCGCCGCTTCATTACCCCAGCGCAGTTCGGTCGCTAGCCTGTGATTGTCTGACCCCACGACACGTCCCTCTCTCCAGACGCGCTGCGCAGAATTGGTGGAGGAGCTGTTTCCGCGCCGGTCGGCCGACGGGTTCGACTCACAGCTGGATAAAACGGTGGCCGACCTGAGCGCGGACGTCATCAACGACTACCCGGCGTCCGACCCGCGCTGGGCTGAGGCCATGCCGCACGGTCAGTAAAACTGCAGCGTGGCAGGGTGGTATGACAGTGGAAAGGGATGGGGATGGGACGAAGCGTGGGTTTCGTGCAAAATCACTTTTTTGTGTTACTCTGGAATGGTGTTACAGGAATAAATCTGGGAGGAACGCAGTATGTAATGCAGTCACAAATTATCTAGATTTATTTGTTCTACGCGTTTGCTCTCTCACTCGGTAAGCGTTAACTACCGTGTCAATCATTTCCTCCAAGCGTTGACATCCGTCTCGCTCTGCACCGTCTTACAGATGCCACCGTGTCGACGACCAACTCTCTGATCCTGCTAAATCAGCTCGGCGACAAGCGGGAGGCGCACCAGCTCTACCTGGCCTTCCTCCGGGCCGTCGGACTCTGGGACCGGGTGAGAGAAATGCGATGGATCTGTTGCAACGGTGGTGACGTCAGTGCATTTAGTTTTTTTTAGAGCTGCTGTCGGTGCCAACTGCCATTGTTGTTCGGATGATTGCTTCTTTGAATGAAGAATGGACTCGGGGGTCCTGAAAGGGTATACTCGTCGGGCGATCGACGACGGATAGGCCGGGAGAAACAAACCGCAATGTGTTGTCTGAGGAGCTACTGCGCTTACCATAATGACATTCTCACTAATGATTATTGTTTAAACTCTGGTAGACCGGGGCCATGATTGTTCGTGGTGAGTGCCGTCTGCCGCTTGTTTTCCTTGCCGTCTGAAACAACTGCTGACGTCTGTCCCTCCGCAGCTGACGGGTATCAGTCGCGAGGATTCGGCGGTGGCCACCACTCAGGTGCTGCGTGAGCACCACGAGAAGATCCTGGCCGCCATGGCGCTCACCAACCAGTCGGCACAGTGAGTAGGGGACGGCGATAGCTGACGGGGCTTAGTATGGACTGGTACTGCAGGTGACTCATGGTGGACGTCGCCTTGCTTCGTGCCTATCAAGTGACCAGTCTATGACATTAGGCTAGGACGTCAGGCATTGGACGTGACGTTGGTCTTTCTGTGGCCTGTGTTTGACCTGCACAATGCGCTTATGGCATGTGAACTATTTGAGACATTGGGTTGGGTCAACTGTTCGATGACTCTTTTCTGTGATCTGTGTTTGACCTTCGACCTGCCAGGCTGAATCAGGTGGTAATGTTTGACCTGTGTTTGACCTGTGACCCGCCACTCGCCAGACTGGGTCAGGTGGTCGACGACGCCGTCACCCGCGTGGTCGAGGAGCGCGGCGAGGTGCCGCAGCACCCGCTCACGGCGCAGGACGTCTTCTTCCGCCACCTGTCGGCCGTGGACGATATTATCGGTGCGCTGGTCGGCCTCCAGGAGGAGCTGCTGGCCACGGGCGCTCCGCCGCGCGACCTGGTGCAGCTGACCTCGGACACAAACACCATACTGGTGGTGAGTGGAACGGGCCGGGCGCCGCACAGTCGCGTCTGGCTGCTCGAATAACCATTCAAAGGCGAGATAAGTGAGGCCTCTGATATTAAGTTATGGGAATACACCAGCAAGTCACCCTGTTAGCACTGACCTCGTTGATCACTGACTTCACTGTCCATTGACCTTGACTGCTGCCCCAAAAGGCAACCGACCTTAACCAGTAATGACGGGCGCCTTCTTCCTCCGCCCTCAGCGGATGCTGACGTCTGTGTCGGCGGCGGCGGCCGACCTAACCCCTGAACAGACCCCCACCACCGGGGAGGAGGGATCTGAGTGGCCCCAGCAGCAGCAGTGCCGCGAGCGGCAGCCCTGGGGCACGGCCGGTCCGGCCCGCGAGCTGCTTCACCGTCAGTACCAGATCACACTCAAACAGGCGCTGCCCAACACGGAGACGGGCGCGACACGGACCAGCCTCTACCAGCAGGTCAGGGGAGACACAGGCCAGGCTTCACCAGGACCAGTATTTTATAAGCTGGACAGGATGAGGGAAATAGCTGGAAAAGGAAGGGAGAATGTTGGTAAGGATAAACAAAGGGGCAGTGGAGCTATCATGGTTATCGATGACTGATATGAATCGGGAACGAGAGACGAAGTGAAAAACTTGAAGACGTTTTGTTTCACAATGCAAGTGTAACACCCTATTCTTACATTGACCTGACCTGACCCGCCAGCTGCTGGAGCTGGCTGACCTGCTGCTGTCCGGCTACACTGACCTGACCTGACCTGACCCGGTAGCTGCTGGAGCTGGCTGACCTGCTGCTCTCCGGGTACGCCGTTCAGTTGACCTGACCTGACCTGACCTGACCTAACCCGCCAGCTGCTGGAGCTGGCTGACCTGCTGCTCTCCGGGTACACTCGACTGACCTAACCTGACCCGGCAGCTGCTGGAGCTGACTGACCTGTCGCTGTCGGGCTACACCCAACTGACCTGATCTGACCCGCCAGCTGCTGGAGCTGACTGACCTGCTGCTGTCCGGCTACACTGACCTGACCTGACCTGACCCGCTAGCTGCTGGAGCTGGCTGACCTGCTGCTCTCCGGCTACACTCAACTGACCTGACCTGACCCGCCAGCTGCTGGAGCTGGCTGACCTGCTGCTCTCCGGCTACACTCAACTGACCTGACCTGACCCGGCAGCTGCTGGAGCTGGCTGACCTGCTGCTCTCCGGGTACACCGTTCAGTTGACCTGACCTGACCTGACCTGACCTGACCCGGCAGCTGCTGGAGCTGGCTGACCTGCTGCTTTCCGGGTACATCATCCATTCTGACCTGATCTGACCTGACCCGACCCGGCAGCTGCTGGAGCTGGCTGACCTGCTGCTCTCCGGCTACACCGTTCAGCTGGAGAGTCTGCGCGGCGTCGAGCGGTATGCGGCGGTGGAGGCGGAGTTTGAAAAGGACCGCTACCAGTTGATCCATCCGCTATGTAAGCAGCGGGGGGAGGGGAACTAGGGTGGAGTAGGATGGAGGGCCTGGACTTGGATTGAAGAGGAATAATGATGTCTGAAACGGTGATGGACTGCGGTGAAGTGCGTGTTGGACTGCGGTGAAGTGCAGGGTGTTGACTGTTGCGGATGGTTTACGGAAGTGTGAAAAGATTTCTATGATGAATTTTGATCGTGTCAAGACAATCGATATTGAAATTAGATTTATTTTTGGTCCTTTGTTCTAGATTTTTATTTAGGTCAGCGAAGGGAAGTTTGTAACTGGTTTGATATTTGCAATTTTCAATTGCGTTGGGACTGGGGTCATACTACCGTTTGCCCCGTCTGCACTGTAAGTCCCCAAATTTCCCGCCCGTCCCGTTTCAGTGGAGGCTGAGGAGTACGAGCGTGCCACCAGTCTGGCCGAGAAGTACCTCGACTTCCGTATCCTGGTGGAGGTCTGTGAGAAGACCAACAGCACCGAGCGGCGTAACAAGTACCTGACACAGTTCGCCGACAAGGTACGGAGAGAGGAGGGAGAGAGACGCTGGTCGTCGGCGTTAATGCATCTGTACCGTACAACTTCATCCGCATGGCTAGACCTAACTTATCGTAACTAAATAGTTTTTAGCGTCCCAGTCAGGTTGCACTCGCCATGCTGTTTCTGTTTACCGTTATATTTTGTAATTTATCGCTATGACTTGACTGTACCATAATTGACCCAGCTCACTAATATGTCGCCCGCCGACCCGTACCGGTGACCCCGCTGACTGATATGTCCTCCGTGGGCAGGGTTTCGCCGACTTCCTGTTCAACTGGTACCTGGACCAGGGCCGGCGCGGACAGCTGCTCAGCCAGTGTCGCCGTGCCGAGCTCGCCGGCTTCCTACAGGAGTACCGCGGCCTGCGCTGGCTGAATGAGCTGGAGGCCGGGCGGTATGGACAGGCGGGGGATACACTGGAGCAGTGTGCCACGTCGGAGACGGAGTTCCTCACCAGGTGAGCCGCCGGATGGGTGGACGGTGGAAATGGACCTCGCAAGGTCGCCACACGGGAGCTGGTGGGGTAGGACGCGGTGAGAAGCGAAGGGAACACTCAAAGAAAAATGTTTTGCCAGATTTGCTCAAGAACAACGCGTTGGAATTCATGTCTTTAATTATGTTCCACGTCTTTGAGCGCTTTATTGCAACGCTTGGAACGAAGTACCGAGCCACAGCTACTCGATCAATATTGGATGGAGATGGTTTGTGGTGCGGTTAATGCTATGGCGCTGGATGGCGTGGGGTCCTTATTTGACCAGCACCCACCCACTCGTTTCTGTCGTTCTCGTACCACAGGAAGAAGACCTATCTGAGTCTGGCGAAGCTGTGTGCGCTGGCCGGCCGGCAGGGCAATGAGCTGGAGGGCAGACTGGCGCGGCTGCAGCCCGAGTTTGAGCTGACGCAGCTTCAGGAGCAGCTGCCGCTCTCTGTACTGGAGGTGAGGGATGGGAGCAGGAGGGGAGAGAGAGAGAGAGAGAGAGAGAGAGAGAGAGAGAGAGAGAGAGAGAGAGAGAGAGAGAGAGAGAGAGAGAGAGAGAGAGAGAGAGAGAGAGAGAGAGAGAGAGAGAGAGAGAGAGAGAGAGAGAGAGAGAGAGAGAGAGAGAGAGAGAGAGAGAGAGAGAGAGAGAGAGAGAGAGAGAGAGAGAGAGAGAGAGAGAGAGAGAGAGAGAGAGAGAGAGAGAGAGAGAGATAGAAGAGAGAGAGAGAGAGAGAGAGAGAAGAGAGAGAGAGGAGAGAGAGAGAGAGAGAGAGGAGAGAGAGAGAGAGAGAGAGAGAGAGAGAGAGAGAGAGAGAGAGAGAGAGAGAGAGGAGAGAGAGAGGAGAGAGAGGAGAGAGAGAGAGAGAGAGAGAGAGAGAGAGAGAGGAGAGAGAGAGAGAGAGAGAGAGAGAGGAGAGAGAGAGAGAGAGGAGAGAGAGAGAGAGAGATAGAGAGAAGAGAGAGAGAGAGAGGAGAGAGAGAGAAGAGAGAGAGAGAGAGAGAGAGAGAGAGAGAGAGAGAGAGAGAGAGAGAGAGAGAGAGAGAGAAGAGAGAGAGAGAGAGAGAAGAGAGAAGAGAGAGAGGAGAGAGAGAGAGAGAGAGAAGAGAGAGGAGAGAGAGAGAGAGAGAGAGAGAGAGAGAGAGAAGGATAGAGAGAGAGAGAGAGAGAGAGAAGAGAGAGAGAGAGAGATAAGAGAGAGAGAGAG